AATCTAAAAAAAAGGCTTAAGTATAATTTATTTAATAAAATATTTAGCTAACCACGGGGCCCTCTTAAGTTAGTATTAATTTTTTATTATATAAATTATTAAAGGGCTATTAAATAATACCTATTTTATTAAAACTTAGTTAAGTCTTTTAAAAAATAATAAAATATTATTATTAATATTAGCGTGCTATGCCAGGTATGTAAAAAGCTATTAAAAAATTATTTAAATAATATTTATATCCTATTTTAGGTAGTAAAATATATAATAAAAAAATAGGATATATATATAAGGGCTACGTGGTAAGTAAAATAAAATTTATTTAAACTTAAAAGTTAACTTAATAAGCTAATAAAGTATAAATATTATAAAAAATTATTTATGCCCTGCCTTTTTTTTTTTAAATATTTAAAGTATGTTATATATAGCTAGCATAATAATTAAATTATTATTTAATATTAAAAGTAGCTAGGGTGTAATAAATTAAAGCCTAGGTATATAATAAAAATATATATTAAAGTATATTAATTATTTATAAAATATTAAGGTATAACTACCCGCCTAAAAATTTTAGTAATTTTTAAAATAATTATTATTATATAATATTTAATAAGCTAGCTATAGCTTATAGCCTTAAGCCTATTTTTATTAATTTAATAGTTAAAGTTTAGCCTAGCCACATGTTAAAAACCCTTATTTTTATTACTAGTTAATTTAAGCCCACCTAAATATACCCAGCTGCTATTATTTCTTATAAAGTTACTAAGTATAAAGCACTAAAAAGTGCTTAAAAAATAGTTTTAGTACTATAGTAGGTTTATTTATTTTTTAATACTTTTTAATTTTAAATTTTTTATAATAAAAAGCTTAAATATTAGTAAGAATATATAATTTAAATATTTTTTATTTATTTAACTTATTAATACGCAAACACCTTAACCCTTAGTAAATAAGTTATAAAAAAAAATAAAAATAAGCTAGTTAAAAGCCTGGGTAATAAGGCTTACTAGGCCTAGTAATATATTTATAAATATTATTATTTTATTAAAAATATATTATAAATAATATAAATTAAGGGGTAGGCTAAGGCAGTACTTTTTAATAATATAGTATTAAATAAATAAATTTATTAAGATTATTATATTACCCTATTAAATTTTATATTATATTTTTACTATTTTTAAAAATTTAATATTATTATTAGGGGGCTAGCCCCCTTTATAAAGCTATAACTTTAGTGCCTAGTATATAAAAAGCCTTTAAAAAATAAAAAAACTATGGTTAGGGCAGGCGCGGTAAGGCCTTTTTAAATTTTATATAAATAAATACTTAAAAATAGTTAAAAAATTAAGTAAAATAAAGTGGCTAAGGTAAATACACTAGTAATATTAAAAGGCTTAAATAGGTATAAAAGTAGTAAATATAATTATAATTAAAAATAAAAGCTAAAATTTATATAATATATTATTTTTAAGGTTATTTATATTATAAGGCAACCTTAATATTAACTAAAAATTACCTTATATAATAAAAAATAGTAATAGTATAGTTAATTAATTTAATTTTATTTTTAATATTAATAAGGTTACTAGATTAATCCTAGTATAAGTACTTTTTTTTTAATTTTTTATTACTTAAATATAATATATATTATTTTTTATATTCCTAAGTTTGCCCTTTAGCATAGTAACTACTTACTTTTAGTATATTTTATTATAAGTTTATTTTAGTACTAATTAATACCATGCTAAGTAAAATAAAATAGCTAACTTACTTATAACCTAACTTATATTAATTTAGGGTGTAACACCTTTTATAAAAAGTAAAAAATATTTTAAAATTATACTTAATTTTTTAAACTATTATACTTAGCATATAATCTTATAAAATAAAAATATAACTTATAGGTTAAAGGCCAGAAGGCTATAAGTAAGTAAATTAAATAGGTAAATAATAATAAATAGCTAAATATAAAATATTAATATTTTAATAACTTTAATATTAGTAAACTTACTAGTATTAAGTGCTTAATAATTCCAGGGGGTATACTTATTTAGCTAGCTTTTATAATTATTATTAAAAATAGGCAGGCATATTCCCAGGTATTTAATAATTTTAATAGGATTTACCTTATATATAGTATTATTTTATATTTAAAAACTAGATTTTTAGTAAATATTATTAATAAGGTAGTTAGGTTAGCTTACTTTTATTAAAATATTATTTTAGGCTAGGTCCCCTGGTAGTAAAGGGTATGTTAAAATTTAATTTAAGGGTTTTATTTAAAACTTAAATTATTATTACTAGGGACTTATATTAAAATCTAAATTAAGGATATTAATACCCTAAGGGCCATGGGTATTTTACTAAAAAAATATACTATATTAAATAATTATTAAAGTGGGTTAAAAAAGGCAGTAATATTTCTAGCTTTTAAGTTAAAAAATTAATATAAAATTTTACTATTATTTAGGCAATATCTAGCACGCGAGGCCTGTATTAAGCAAATTCCTAATTTATTATTAAGATTATAAAGTTAGGAGCGGGCATAAAAGCATTATTAAAGTTAGGACTATTAAAGTTAGGACTATTAAAGTTAAAACTATTAAAGTTACTAGGTAAGGCATTCCTAGCTTTTAAGTTAAAAAAGGGATTAAGGGAATGCTTCTTTAAAAATAAATATAAGATATTTAAGGGGAGTAAAATACTCCCGGGTATAAAAGCACTATTAAAATTAAAATTATTAAAATTAAAACTATTAAAGTTACTAGGTAGGGTATTTTTAGCTTTTAAGTTAAAAAAAAATTAAAAAAATACTTTTTTAAGGGCAAATGCAAGATATTTAAGGGGAGTAAAATATTTTATAGGCTTATACTTATATTTTATAATAATAATAGTAATAATATTTAACACCCTAAAAATTACTAATTTAAAATATATTAGCTATAAAGCTACTTAAAATAATAATTACTTACGTGTAGGGGCCTAAAGGCCATAAGCAAGTAAATTAAGCAGGTAAACTAAGTAGGTAAACTAAGTAAGTAAACTAAATGGGTAAACTAAATTATAACTTATTATAATATAAAATTAAGATACAGGACTTTAGGGTTCTACCTAAAACCTAATTTAGGTTAGTTATAGGGTTATTATTAAAAAGGTTAAAACCTTAAAATTTAACTTATACATGCCTTTACATAGGCGTGTAAATCTACTATAACTTATAATAAAATATATAGTAGTAATAGTAATATTTAATACCCTAAAAATTACTAATTTAAAATATATTAATTATAAAGCCTTTTAAAATAGTAACCACTTATATATATTATAAAAACCTAAAAGCTATAAGTAAGTAAATTAAGCAGGTAAACTAAGCGGGTAAACTAAGCAGGTAAATTACTAAATTAAAATTATTAAAAGGTAGTTATTTATAACCTTTAGTTAGGGGCCTTACTTTTTTTTATAATAAGTATTATTTTAATTATTATTATTAAAAAATAAAGCCAGCCCCTAAGTTTATATTATTATTAAATAAATACTTTTAGTTTAGGGGCTGGCCCTTTTATTTTTAAACTTTAAATAATTACTATATATAGCTATATACTATATTAATTATAAAATTATTTAAAATATTAAGTATTTACACAGGAGCCCAAAAGCTATAAATAAATAAATTAAATAAGTAAATAAGCATAGGCTTATATTAAAACCCGGGCCTTTATAAAAAAACCTTTAAAATTATAACTTTATATAGTTATTACTTTTTTAATAATATATTTAAAAAATAAAGTATAAATAGGTACTATCTATAGCACCCTAGGCTATAAATAACCTTTTTAATATTATATTTTATACCTAGTTAGCCTACTTTAGTTTTAACCTAAAAAATAATAACTATAATTAAATTAAATTTTATAGCTACCCCCTATATTATAATATATTAAAATATTTAAATTATACCTAGTATAATATTATATATATAAAATTATTAAAAACCCTAGCTTTTTTAATATTACTTAGTAAGCTAACCCAGGAGTATTATAGGTAATATAAAAAAATATAAAAATTAAAAATAAAAAGTTATTAAAACACGGGAACTAACTAAAATAGTTACCTTTAATATTACTTAAAAGGCATATTTATAAAAAGCTTTTTAATATTATTTAATAAGCTAACCCTAATAGGGCCACGGGTAATATAAAAAATATATAAAAATATTAAATACTAAAAGCTAATAATATATAGTTATTACCTAATATAAACACCTTTAGTATTATTTAAAAGGCCTACTAGTAAAAAAATTACTTAAAATAGCATGCCAGGTGCGGGAATAAAAACATGTAAAAGGTAATAATAATAGCCTAGTAATTAAGTATATTATTCCTTATATATAATATTTTAATTATTTACTTTTATATTTTTACCAACCCCTTAATAATAGGAAATATAGGTGTAAATATTTAAGCATGTAAAAGTTATTTTAAAAGGCCTAGTTTATATAAAATAAAGATAGTAATAAAAAAAATCTTATATAAATTAGGCCTATAAATTTACCCGCCTTATACTTATAAAAGCTAATTAAAACTAAATTTTAACTAAATACTAAGTAATATTTAAAAAATATAAAGTATTAATTTTAAGCCCCAGGGTACTAAAATTAAAGAAATTATATAAATATAAAAAGGGAAGTAAAGTATTAATAAATATTAAATATAGTTAAACCTAGGAAACCACACGGGGTATATATACTAAATATATAAATATTAAAATAAATATATATATTTAAAAGGTGTATAAAAAAAAGCGGTAAAAATTAATAAAATTAATATATATTTTATTAGGGTGTGGGAAGAGGCGGTAAACTACGGTAAAATAAAGAACTGTATAACTATGAAAACGGAGCTGAGCATATACAGTGGGTAATTAATTATCTAAACCTAGCCCTGAGTCAGAGGGTGTATCTATCTGTTAGCTCTATAGCTCTACGTCACCAGCCGAATCTCTTAGATCTTTTTCACAATGAGCAAGAACCCCTGTGCAGACCCCTGGACCTTCTCCTTCCCCTCTTCCATCCCGCCTTCCCTCAACAACCTCTCAACATCCCTCCTAAAAACCCTCACGACGTCCTTCTCCCCCGTGGCGTCGGGGTGGTCCTCCCGCCACCTCGTAACAGGACTCATAGTCCCCAACATCTTCTCAAGAGCAGCCACGGAAAGCTCAGGAGCCCCCAGCGCCAGGAACTTCTCCGTTGTATCCCAGTCCCTTCTGAAGAACTGATTCTTGTCGAACCCCTCAACAGGCGGCTCAACCGTCCACGGCAGCCCAAGCTCCTTGTAAAGCCCCCTTGTCAGCACATTCCCAGGGAGGAAATACGGCCGGATCATTGCCTCAAACTCGTCAATCCGCTGCTGGATCTTCTCCCAATTAGGCGTGCCCGGCGAAGTGTGCAAGTTCCCGCTGCCCCAGATCGCAACGCTCCCGCCTGGCTTGAGGACACGCGCTGCGCTGCGCCAGAAAGCAGGCATGTCGAACCAATGCGCCGCTGTGGCAGCGACAATCAAATCGATCGAGGCGTCTGCGATAGGCGGGTTGAGGTTGGAGCCTAGATCCTCGGCTGTGGAGACCTCGAAGCGGAGCTTGCCACCGTCGGCCCCGCGATCGGAGTTGAGAGAGCGGGCGGTTGCAATCATACCCTCGGATGGATCGAGTCCCGTAGTGTGTGCGAAGTGCTTACTGAGGTTTGATGCGACATTTCCGGGACCGGTGCCGACGTCGATGAGGGCATCGAGTTGTCCGCCTGTTGAGGTGTGGTGGGAGACGATCAGGTTGTAGAGATCTTGGTGGTAGTCGAGCCGGTTGAGCGCGTAGTTTTTGCCTTGGTCGGCTGTGTAGTCGCGGAAGGTCTTCTCGGTGTTGGCCATTGTTGTGATTGGGATGGATTATCTTTGTGAGGATTTCGGGTTGAAGAGTGGGAGAGCGCGATTTATAGAGATGATCGCGTGCGATGCCGCGTGGTCTGCTACCCTCCAGGTCCGAGATAGCCGGGCGAGGGGAACATCATGGGGGTCAGGGCTAAACACAAACAGGTTAGAGGGTGGGATTCGGGTTAACTTTCAACAGCAGCTAAGCCGCTTTCAAGATACTTTGCGAAGGCTGAAGCATTTCATTTGTTGAATGGTTGAACTGTTGAATCTGACACAGGTACCGCCCGTCAACTCGAGTCGAAGTTATAACTGTTGAGACTGAAAGACTTCATCGAGATCTGGAATGAGAAATCCGGTGGTGGAGCAGTCCGGGGAGAATTAAGCGAAGAGTCGATACATATATATCGAAAACCTTGTTGGTTAGGCAACAAATTACAGATGACAGACAGATCAGCAATGCATGCTTGATGCATCAATCAAGCATATTCCACGCGATCCGATGTGGAATTCCCGGCGTATCGGACGAGGCTGGGTTATATAGGCAGCCGGCTCGTTTGTCGCTCTTCGTTCCCCGTTTATCGCTCCTCGCTCTGAGCTTCGTATCGGTCGTATCTCGCTTAAGCTGGCAAACGTGAAGATGATCTGCAACCGTTCCGGACTTCCGCTGGGGGATCGTCAATTAGACTGCCGAGTAAAGGAACTAAGAGGAGTGAATGTAAAAGTGAGACAGCATGAGAACATGGTTCAGACCCAGGAGGCAGGAGCACCTGTCTATAAAAGCCTCCTGCCTACCACGGCTCCCTCATTTTTCAACAGCAGACTGCAATCAAGCCAAGCTAGAATATGCTCGACTTCATGGATGCTCTTTTAGTTGCCAGCCCCGGCTCAATTGCAGTCCTTGGACTGCTGCTAGTTGGTGGCTTGTATGTGCTTCTGAGTTCGCCCTCTCATCCGGTCCTCAATGGGAAAGGGCCACTGGAGTTTCGAGATACCCATGCGCAGAAGCGGTTTCTGTCCAATGCGCGCAACCTGATCAGCTCGGGCCTCGCAAAGGTATGGTTTCCCATTTGATGTGCGGGAGCGATGTGACTGATCGTATATGTGACAAGTGGCCGGCTTTTAACCTAGTCACCGAGACCGGATACAGACTCGTTCTGGACCCCAAGTATGCGCAAGAGATTCGGAGTCATGAGGCGCTGAGTTTTGGCAAAGCAATCGCGCTCGACTTTCATGCCCATATTCCAGGGTTCGAGCCCTTTGACCAGGGGACCAGGTCGGACGAGATCGTCCAGGATGCTGTTAGAATGAAGCTTACCCAGAGCCTCGGTATGACCTAAGAAATGAATTGAGGACTGAAGACTGACATAGCAAGGATCTGTGACGAAGCCATTGTCCGATGAGACGACGGTTGCCCTGCAAAAGAACTGGACGGACAATGCTGGTGAGTAACAATAGAGAAGAGGGGCGAAGACTAACTGACGCGTCCCAGATTGGCACACGATTCCTCTCAAGCACACTATCCTGGACATTGTTGCTCAGCTGTCATCCAAGGTCTTCCTCGGTGACCAAATCTGCCGCGACCCCGACTGGCTACGAATTACTGTTGCCTATACTATTGATTCATTCTTGGCCGCTGAAGCACTGCGCATGTGGCCGGCGTTCATGCGGTCTATTGTCGCCCCGTTCTCTCCCAAGGTCCAGAAGATTCGGGCGCAGCTTGAGGAAGCGCGTAGTATTATTATTCCTGTATTGGAGAGGCGCAAAGCAGAGAAACAGGCTGCTATTGCGAATGGCGAGACTCCCGCTCGGTACAACGACGCCATGGAGTGGATGGAACAGTGCGCAAAGGGACGGCCTTATGACGCGGCTGTGTCACAGTTGTCCTTCTCACTCGCTGCGATCCATACCACTTCCGACATGCTGACGCAGGTGCTGTACGACATTTGCGGTCATGAAGGTTTGATTGACGAACTGAGACAGGAGGTTCTCACCGTCATTGAGGCGGAAGGATGGCAGAAGACGACTTTGTACAAGCTGAAGTTAATGGACAGTGTGCTGAAGGAAAGCCAACGAGTAAAGCCAATTGGAATCGGTATGTACCTACTCTTTCTACCCAACTGCAAATTCTATCTCTAACGAGTCAGCCACCATGCACCGCCTGGCCGGGGAATCCATCAAGCTTTCTGATGGCACCGTCATCCCCAAGAACTCCAACTTGATGGTTTCTGGGCAGCGGATGTGGGATGAGAGCATCTACCCCTCCCCTGAAAAGTTCGACCCCTACCGCTTCCTCAGGCTGCGGGAGACTCCCGGCAAGGAGACCTCTGCTCAGCTGGTATCGCCGTCACCTGAGCATATGGGCTTTGGATTCGGAAAGCACGCGTGCCCGGGACGCTTCTTTGCGGCAAACGAGATCAAGATTGCACTCTGCCACATGTTGCTAAAGTATGACTTCCGATTGACAGAGCAATGGAAGAACCCCCGGCCGATTGCAAGGGGGATGGGACTGAGTGCCGAACCCAGAGCGGAGATGGAGATCAGAAGAAGGACCGAGGAGATCAACCTGTGAATAAAATTATGCAGCTGCATACGTATTATTACTTCAATCAATGAGAATGGTTATGGACCTAAGACCCACCCTCCAAATAGAGTAAAGCGCACTCTGTCTTCCGCTTTGATCCTGGTTTCTGCTCGATCCTTCCCCTTGTATTGTAGATCTCGTCAACATGTCATCTGGAGTCAAAAAGCCAACTCGTCGCTATCACAAAAAGTCCCGCAATGGGTGTGCGCAATGCCGCTCCCGCAGAATCAAGGTATGTCTTAATCCGCGTAGGGGCCGCGTCACTAACACCAGCAGTGCGATGAAACACATCCAGCTTGCCGAAACTGCCAGCGGGCAAGTAAGGACTGCCATTATGCTGCGCAGAGCTCGCCAAGCACCCGGTCTACTCCTAGCAATAGCATCCCACAACTATTGCCACCGGCCGCTACCGAGTCTAGCCCATCCTTCGATCTGCTGGACTTGAGTTTGATGCATCACTATGCAACAGTCACGTCCGTCTCCCTGTTCGGCGAAGAACAGAAAGAGCTCTGGCAGACAGAGATCCCGATCATGGCGCGCTCAAGCCCGCTGCTTATGCACGGCTTGTTGGCCACCGCTGCTCTCCACATGGCGTTCCTCCACAAGGATTCGCCGGTAGCATTTACGAATCGCGCACTGCATCACCATAGCCTCGGACTCGAACTATTCAATGGTGAGATTGCGACACTCTCAGCCGAGAATAGCAAGAGTCCTGTTCTCTTCACATTCGGCCTGTTCCTGGTGATATGGGCCTACGCATCACCAACGATCCCGAGCGCCATAAACACTCCGACGGACGAGTTCGAGCTCGACACCCTTCTCTCTTCCTTGGACCTTGTTCGCGGTAATAAAGTGATCTTTGAACTCTCCAGCGAAATGATCCTCTCCCAACCAATTGGGCGCTTTACGAGACCGTCCGCCGACAACCTAGCCCGCCCCAGACTCAACTCTCAGACCCTTCCCAAGCCTATACAAGATACGCTCGACGACCTCCGTAAACATGTCACTGACTTTATTGAGTCAATGGCCATTGACCAGCTGGAGCAATATCTACTAGACACAGTCTCCAACCCCGATGACATGCGCCGGCCCCTTGGGTGGCCCGCCCTTGCTGAGTCACCATTCTGGGAACGCGTCCGCAAGTATAAACCGACAGCGTTGCTGATATTCTTGCACTATGCCGTCCTTCTGGCATATTACGAGCTGCGGGCGTGGTGGATGGAGGGATGGTCTGACAGGTTGGTTGGTGCTGTCAACCAAGTGCTGGATAAGCAGGATAAGAACCGGCCTGACTGGGACACCTGCGTGAGGAAAGTATCGGCCGTGGTGATGAACGTGAAGGAAAGTATTAGGTATCCTTTAAGCGCCAGTTCCCATTTAAGGTCCCAGCTGTGTCCTGCGCGGTGAACTTGAGCTCCCACAACTCATTACATTTACCGTGATGGAACCCTGCTATCCTGAGCTCAACATCATCGCAGTATCAGATTTGCTCCAGCAATGCATAAGAGTCAAGAGAGGTCCCACCTCACTGAACTCTGAAGTGCCTGCGAGATATAACCAAGTCATCTGCCTGCTCCTCCGTATAGGTCGCGTCGCGGGTTCTACAAATATCCGCCAGGCAGGCACGCCTGGAGAACTTAGAAGCTTAATGACGCGCTGACCAGCGTCATTATCCAGTGTCACCGGGACGGGCCATGACAATCAAGTACCTAGGTAGATTTGAGCCTAGCATCTTGAAGGGTCTCGAAGGGCCTGGAGAACAGCAATGCGGCCTCGGACTCCAGGAACTGCATAGTGATTCCAGGCATGCGATGGTTCGAAGAGATGGATCATAATGATGATTTACATAGCCACAGTCGGCCCTGGGCCGCTAGCTGATCCACTTAATGGCTGATAATGTCTTTGATTCGACCGTTCTTGTATACCCATTTCTGAGTGTTTACCAATGATTACGAATGACCACTTGTGTCGGCCGTACGCCGGAAACTTAGCTTCATCTCAATGAAGCACCATCACCGAATATTATGGAAATATGGACGTTAGGGCATCAGGCTGATCTGCACTCTGAGTGGGCCAGGCCCATCCCTAAGATGCGAAACACTCCACATGCTAGCCTGACCATGGTCTCGGTAGCCAAGTACCCGAGGCATCGCTGCCTATTTAACCGGCTCCTCCCCAACTTTTAACTTGAACATCATCACAACCATGGCAGTCGAAGGCCACTGCGATCCCCGCTTCAACGCCGTACGCGAAGTCTTCGCAGAGCACCTCAACTCCGAAGCCGAACTCGGGGCCTCCCTCTGCGTCTCCATCAATGGCGAATCCGTGATCGATCTCTGGGGCGGCTATGCCTCCCCCGCACGCACCGAGCCCTGGACGCGCGACACAATCGCCCCCGTCTGGTCCGTCAGCAAAACAATCACAGCCCTCGCAACCTTGCTCCTCATCGACCGCGGCCAGGTACACCCCGACGACGCTGTCGCAAAATACTGGCCAGCCTTCGACACCCCAGACAAGCGCGAAATCCTCGTAAGACACCTACTAAGCCACACCTCCGGCCTCCCCTCCTGGGACCCACCAATCCACGTCTCCGAACTCCTCACAGACACCGCGTCCGCAACGCAGAAACTCATCGCCCAGAAACCCTGGTGGGAGCCGGGCACCGCATCAGGCTACCACCTTATCTCGCAGGGCCTCCTGCTCGGCGAACTCGTGCACCGCGTCTCCGGGAAGCCCCTGGCGCAATTCATAGCCGATGAGCTGGCGACCCCGCTAAACGCAGACTTCCACCTGGGCATCCAGGACGAGAAGCAGTGGGGCCGCATCGCTATCATGGATCCCCCGCCTCTATTATTCCCCGCCGGCACGCTCGACAAGGCCCCCGAGCCCACCAACCCGATGTACATCGCCCTCCGCGCCATGCGCGGCACCCGCGGCATCGACGGCGCCATCAGCGGCACGCCTGAATTCCGCCGGTGCGGAATCGGGTCGATCGGGGGTCTCTCGAACGCGCGCGGGTTCAACGCGATCCTGCAAATCATCACGAACCGCGGCACGGTAAATGGGAAGCAATATCTGCAGCCCGAGACCGTCGACCTAATCTTCCAGACGCAGGCAGAGGGTCCCGACCTCGTCCTTGGCACCCCGTTGAAGATGGGGCTGGGCTTTGGGCTGTCGAATGGGAGTATCGCGTGGATGCCTACGGGGAAAGTGTGCTTCTGGGGTGGATGGGGCGGGTCAATTGCGATTATGGATCTTGAGAGGGGCGTGACGGTTACGTATGCGATGAATCGGATGGAGAATGGGACGCTGGGGAATTCGAATGCTGAGGCTTATATTAGAGCTGTTTATGATGTACTCAATGAGCAGGGGATTGGGAGGGCGAGCTTGTAGGGTGGGCTGGGCTGGGTGGGAGGTGTCGGTTCTTGACGACGAACATCCGGCCGGGTACCTTGATCTCCATATTCGACGCGGTCTCCCTTTGTATATACTTACCATCCGCTTGAACCCAGTCCTAGCTATATACTTGTCGACATGTCTAACCTGGGCGGTATCTCATGTTCTTTTCGAGCTACACTGTCAATCTACTCCCCATCCCTGGGTGATAAAACGGTCCTGCCTTTTAGCAAGGTTATGGCCGCGCATCTGGATACGCCTTTAACGCGTACGTGAGAGGCCATGGAAGGCCTCCTGATGCTGATTCAGAGATCCTCGACTTCCAGGTCGTGGTTCCTCCGTCGGCTGGCATCATGCCTATGGCCGGGAGCCTACCTAGGTTCTATTGGGACGCCCAACACCAGAAACATGATGATTATCAACAAGAGTGCATATGTTGCTGGGTACTATACCGTACCATCTGATCGAAGAAGATGCTGTCCCCTGGTTCAAGTGGAAAGGAGTAACAAATCATAAAGTTGCATGGCCATGTAGTATCTAGACCGGGAGCCATGGTGGTCTACGCTGCTCTACCTGTATCCACCCAGCTTATGCTCCATCCTGCCATCCACCCGTTTACCTTCTCTGACAGTCATGCATACGACCCAATCCCAGGCCCGAAATACCCCCCCTCCGGCAGCTTCAAGCGCGTACAAGTCTCAGCCTCGCATCCACTCTCGGCATCATTCCCTCACCAGTTCACCTCGTAGCCATTATAGCTACCTGCGAAGAAGATGATCACTCCGGCAACCGCGATGGCAGTAGAGAATGCCGCGCTGAGCACGTAGTTGTATTTCGAGCACAAGACAAGATATCAGAGCGCAGGTAGCTCCTGCTGATATATGCGGGAAGAACCACAGGCCACATTTAGGCTATGTTGGACTACATCAGCACATGAGTACACACATAGTGCGACCAGGGGGTCTGCTATTCCGGTTTGTGCTTGGATGATGCCAGTCGGGCCACAAAGACAAAGGCCAGAACGATTCCAAAAAGACCATGCTCACATTGATCTGCGGTCATATTAGCCGCCGGATTCGTCACAAAAGTAGGCCACCCAACATCAGCCGCCACTCCAAGGACAATCGCAACGAGGTCGGAACGGCAAACCAGCACTCGGGCACTGTTCGCCACAACGGAGATCAGCATGTGGTCCTTCTCGTTGAAGGGGCCCGGGTTCAGGTTGTGCCGGGTCCCGAAAAGCGTAAAGCCCACGTCAGGAAGGAAAACCCCCGCAGCCTTACCAACGGGGTAGGCGAGGAGTTGAACAAGCATGGCCTCAAGAGTGATACTGGGTTGACGAACGCTGAACAGCTGGTTGACGAAGGCGATGACGATCACAAATCCCAGCCCGATTACCCGGGCCCGGATGGTGCCACATGAAAGCTTGGGGTCATCGCAGGATCGACGACCGCTCGGACTTCAGGGTACGAGCTATTTGATGTGAGAAGCAAGATCTTCAATCTTAGCTTCGCCAATCTTTTGCCGGTGTTGCTCCGGACTCTGAAAGAGAGCTTCCTTGGCAAGGAATGCATCCAGACGCTCCAGACCAGCGATGGGGAAATTTGGATCGTGTGAGTGGGCACTGAGGATTTGCAGCTGAAGTTTGTCAATACTAAACTGAGAGTCCCAGAGATGAGGGAACATACCTCGTGGGCCTCGTCTGTGGTCAATGACTGCGTTTGTCCCTGGGCGGCGAGTATATCGTCCACAGTTGCAGCGAAGCGTCTCCATGCTTGCGAGCCAGGACCACGCATTAGCGTCCAGGGTGGGCTTATTGGGCAAGTTTGTCGGCTTTAAGCTTGATGTCGAGGTCATTATCCTGCTGAGATCGATCAGTTTACTTCAGGCGAGACGGGATGACCTGAAGACATACCGGAGCCGGAACTGCGGTGACAGCTTCGACCGTGTCTAACTTCTACGACAATGCTGCCATGATGGAGATGATCATCGTGCGCGCTGCCCCTGCTTTCTTGCGCGAGATACTCACTGGGACCGCATGAGACAAGGTTTTTAAAACAGCACCTTGCGATGGCATCATTCTCGGTGTTATCTTGCAAATACCCAAGAACCGCCAACAGATTCCTACGTCTCCTGCTATGCACACAAGGCAACGGCTTAGCACATTGAATAGTCCCACTTCGATTAGTCCGCCTTCACGACGGGCGTATGCCAAAGAAGAGCAGACGTCTGCCTACCCGCGCCATTGCTTCAATGCAAGTACCGAATTTTCCGGCCGCCTCTGGCGCCATATTCTGCAATTTCACGACCCATTGTGTGATGAACGCCTTTGGATGTTTATCTGGGCCTGTTCCCACGCAAGCTCTAGTTGTCAGTATGTTCTCCCGATAAGCAACCTGCAGGGTGAATCTTCCACTTACGGGGCGCTGCAACGCTGTCAGAACCCAGATCAAAGCCAAAACGAGCCTAAGGCGCCACACCCTAACAGTCGAGCAGGGGTAGTTGCATTTCGGCGTTGCAGTGATTGGACGATAAATTGACGCCTTTTCGGGCGCCGGTCACGCAAGCGTAGACGTGCTTATCCAATCCCCTGGCGTTGGGGTCAGCAGACCTGATGGTCAAGATAAGCGCATTCCCACCTTCAACTTGACAAGCCAAGACGGAGAACTCTGGTTGCGGGAGATAAGACTTCTTCGCAATGCTTGGTTTGCCCTACGGCATGATGGACGGCAAGAGCGACTTTTATGCGCATTCGGCAAGGCGATTCGAAACATCAGGTCACCGGCGCGCTCGACACGCGTTACGGCGATGGAGGGTGCTGATTTGGACGGCCCTTTGTGCGGGAATACTGTTCTTGATCAATGGAGTACCCTTGTCCAGCAACTTTACATTATCGACGGATTTGACGGCGGAGAGGGTTTTATATGAGGGACTGCAGCAGTGCTACGAAACTGTGAACCATCCGAAGGGAGAAACGGCCCCGTCTGCGGACAGACACAATCCACGATGGAATGCAGTCAGTGGTCAAAAGACACCCATTGCAATCCAGAATGCGACTCTCTTCGACGGTGAGACGACTCTTCCATACTCCGTCGACATCGTATTCGACGCTGGAGTCGTCCGCTCTGTTACCCCTACCAACAGCAACAACTCCCTGCCCGAGGATGCTGAGATCATAAACGTGCATGGAAAGCACGTAACTCCCGGGCTAGTCGACCTACACTCTCACCACGCCCTCCTCCCCTTCCCATCTCTCAGCGCAACAAGCGATGCAAATGAGCGCCCGCTCCTAGGACCCATTACACCCTTCGTGCGGGCCACAGACGGATTCACGCCCTCCGACCCAGCAATTAAGCTCATTGCGTCCGGCGGCGTGACGTCCTCGCTCGTCCTACCGGGCTCAGCGAACATCGTCGGCGGCCAGGCGTATCCAGTCAAAAACCTTCCTTACCCCGGCGCAGCCGCCGAACCAGTCATTGACGAGTTATTACTGGAAGACGGAATTCAGGAATCTCAGCGCCAGCGATATCTCAAGATGGCGTGCGGTGAAAATCCGCGACGGGTGTATGGGCATACGAGAATGGGTCTTGCGTGGCTGCTAAGAAAGGAACTGAACAAGGCAAAGGAGCTACTTGAGAAGCAAGAGGCTTGGTGCGCAGCGGCGTCGAAACTACAAGGTGAAGGCAGTGAGTTCAGGTTCAGGCTGAGGCAAAGAGATCAAGTATCAGCTTTCGTTGAACGTGAAGGGCCACGGCCGGATTCCTTCGACTTGGAGACGTTCCTTGCGCTTTTGAGGGGTGAGATCAATCTCAATGTCCACTGCTACACGCCTGAAGATTTGGAGACGATGCTTTCTGTCCTGCATGAGTTTGGGGTCCATCCGAGGGCGTTCCATCATGCCTTGGAGGCGTGGCAGGTGCCGGAGCTATTGAAGAGGTTGGAGCCGTGAGTTGCCAGTGACTTCATTTGTGCGGCTATTTTTGAATGCTGACCCGATACAGTAATGTCACTATTGCCACATTTGCTGACAGCGCGCTGTACAAGGCTGAAGCATACGATGCTAGCCTTCAAGCGCCGAAGATACTCCATGAGCATGGAGTCAGGGTTGCGCTGAAATCAGTATACATCTCCGTCCGACAGCATATCCCAATACACAATTAACAAGCGTTCTAGGATCACACCGGCGAAAGCGACTACGCGAAATACCTCCTGTACGTTATGGGACCCGCCCCTGTCCAGTTTTCATCGCTACTAACAAGCGCGCCCTCAGTGACCAAGCATCAGTCGCACACTCCTACGGCCTACTGACTGACGCAGCCCTGCAATCCGTAACATCAATCCCAGCTGAATCTATGCAGCAAGGCCACCGGATCGGGTACATGCGTTTAGGCTACGATGCCGATCTCGTCATTTGGGATAGTCATCCGCTTCAGGTTGGCGCGACGGCTGTGGAAGTTTTCATCGATGGAAGGCCCCTGCTGAGGAAAGATTTAAAGGAAATTTCCAAGCAGCTTGAGCCTACATACCGCGAACCTCAGGGCTCCTTGGACATTAGACAACAAGCACCCGCTACCCGTCCGCTCATGAAAGCCGAGGAGAGAGGCGAAGTCTGCAAACGCATCCAGGAAGGAGCGGCGAAGGGAACAGTAGTCTTCACCGGTATCAAGGAAGCCCTACTCGATGTCCCAGGTCTTGACCCCAACAACGAGCACTCAGAGCTTGTTCTTGTCCTTGAAGCCAACAAGGTCCCCTGTCTCGGTTCAAAGTTAACCTGCCTCTCACAGTCCAATCTGCAAAGTTCAAACAACGACACCGAGATCCCACTGCAAAACGGATACATAACGCCCGGCCTCATCGCCTTCGGCAATAACCTAGGTATCCAGGATATCCCCTCTGAACCATCAACTGGAGACGGCACGTCAAAATCTGGAATTGAGGCTGTACACTTCGCGAAATACGGCGTCCACCTACACGGTAAAGGCAAAGCATTTGGTCGCGCACGCATTGGCGGCGCCACAAAGGCAGTTACGCCGCCGCATGGAAGTGGTGTGCTGCAGGGTGTTAGTGTGGGGATACGGACAGGGCCGGGGGAGACGCTTTTGGACGGCGGCGTCTGGAGGGATGAGGTTGCACTGCACTTTAGTATTGGGCAGGGTGCTAAAGGTGCGTTTGTGTCAGGGAGATTAATGCAGGAAATTGCGGCTAATATGTCTCTTGTCGAAAGATGACCATACACCCACAGTGGGTTCTGGGATCGAGACAATCCGCCGCGTCCTGGAACAGGGAAACAAGGGTGAAGGAGATGATGTTTTCATTCGAGCCGCGAATGAATCTCTCCCTGTGGTTGTGCAGGCTTATAATCCGGTGAGTACATTTGCGCTCAAGCTACAGCATTCCTTCCGAAAGGTACTGAGTTGCTGACTCCCTTCTCTTGTAACTACCAAGGACGACATCGCCCAACTCATCCTGATCAAACGTGACTTCCCGCGCGTGAACCTGGTCATCTACGGTGGCCACGGCGCGGCACTGGTAAGATGCCAATTGAGCCTCGTAAATTTCCTGCCTTGATCAAATACTGATTGTACACTTACAGCTCGCGAAACCCCTCGCCGACGCCGACATCCCCGTAATTCTAACCGGCAACCGCGGTGCACCAGATACATGGGAGAAGAAAGACACACTACCAGGCCCACCACTGTCCGATAGTCCGGCGAAGATACTACTCGACGCTGGTGTGCTACTCGGACTCGCAGCGAAGGACGATTCGAAGATTCATGGTCTTGCACGGGAAGCTAGATGGGCGGGGAAGTTTGCTGGACTTGACGATACAGAGGCTATTAGGCTTGTTTCGACGAATTTTGACGAGATCTTGGGTTTAAGCTCCAAAGCCGAGGGTGATGGAGAAGGGTATAAAGGGGACTTTGTGCTTTGGGAGGGGAATCCACTTAGTGGGGAGGGCAGTGTTGTCATTTCTGTGAAGGAAGATGGGAGTATCAGTGATTGCTGGCCGGAGGTTGATTAGGCGTCGAAATTTCTGGACATGAAGAAGATGAAGATCAAGTCATGATTCATACGCCGTCGATGCCTACTCATAATAAGCCCCCCGGTCAAGCTCCAGCGCCGTCTGCTCAGGCCACAACCTCTTGATCGCAGCCTTAACAGCCTCAACCTGTGCTTTATCGCCCAGAATCGCATGCTCATAGAAAAGTCCAAGCTGCTCTGTAACCCAGAACCTGCACCCCACGCCTTGAGAATCAAATTCATATTTATGCCGACCGTTGTCAACGAGTAGATCATGGATATCGTTCACCGTGATGTTTGAACCCGACGGGAGGTCTAGCGTAAATGTGGGCTCGATGTCTGGCATAGTTGACGGCTCAAGTTCCGATATAATCAGATTCGCTTTTGAGCCGCCGGGCAGAATTGTACTTGGCTCGACGTAGCTAGGGAGGCAGTCTATTTTGATCCATCTGGTTGATGCTGCAGGGGATTTCGAAACGGCGAGGTAGAAACACCAGTGGTTGGTTCCTGCGTCTTGGGCATGTGGTCCAGTCACGATGCGGTCGATGCGTAGAGAGAGGATCTGCTCCTTGCGGCTTTGGGGGATGAAGTGGACTGGCCGAAAAGGAGACATCTTGAAAATGCAATTCAAGCGAAAGGAGTCGGTAGGAAAGGTAACATGTATGCCAGGGGGACAGAAGATTGAAGCAAAGCCAATCTAGCCAGGACTAGGGGCTGGGAGGAAGTGGGGGATTCATGACGTAAGCGCTGGGGTGGTTTGGTTAGCCCCTGTGCAGTGAGTCAGCAGCCCAAACCTCGCTAGGGAAGTGAAAGACAACTGGCTATGACACTTGAGATGTGCCCCTGTGGCGCGGTCAGCGCCTGCAGGTTTCTTTTGATTGGATGAGCGGAGAACAATGAAACGCTGCCCGAGCCGCTGAGGTACTCCGGCAAAGGAAAGGGTAATCAGCCTTGGGTGTTACGCCAATGGGGCAACAGAGAGAACGTATTCGATGGAATGTAATTGCTCCTCCTCTTGTTGATAACGCGGTAAACGGGATACCACCATGTTGTTGAAGTCGGGAAAGCTGGATTGGGAGGATATGGCGGCGGTCTCAAATGCGCGGGGGTACGCGCCAGCATCAGCCCAATCAACCAACCACACCTGTCCATCGGCGTCTAAGATAAGATTCCGGGGACTTACGTCCTGATGGGTAAGGACAAACTCCTCAAATTTGAAATCGGGTATGTCGTTTGGCGCCTTGTTCCAGGCTTTGGCGATTTCAAGCTTGTGATTGAACCACTCTTGCATCTCAGACGTATCTCCGAAAGGACCAGCGGTATAGTGAGTGAAGAATTGGCCACGACAGGGCCCGCCACCGATCGGCCCTGGGCGTGGTAGCTTGACAGATTGCAACTTCGATATCATTTTCACGACCTGATTCGCTACTTTCAACTTCCGCTCGTTGCTCAGGCCTTCCCAGCAGCTATCGAGCGGCTGACCATCGATGTAATCCATGACAATATAGCCCATGGTCCCAAAATATTTAGTGTCGTCGTCTACCTGCCAAGATCGATGAACGCGTGGGGTTCGGATGCCAGCCTCAGCAGCAACGTGCATCACTGCCGCCTCGCTAGGGAGGACATTTCCTCCACCTTTCATGGCTAGAGTCTTTGACAGCCGCACAACAGTCGTTTGACCAAGGTCATAAAGTGCAGGGGAGGAGTAGAGAAGCCCGGCAAGGGATTCGTTGGAGAGGGTATGGACGTCAGTCTGATCTAAGGGAAATGTGCCATCTGCAGCTCGACTCGCTGGCTATCCACGGGGCTTGTTAGTGTCTCGTCATTCAATATTACCACGGCCGACGTACATCAGTATACGGGGACATGACGCGCTCCATGTTAGTGGATAGCGGCACTCGGGCTCGAGACGTCGATGCTAGCAGAAAGACGGGGCGGGTGAGTCAAAGACTCGCATTCTCCTTATTCTGACTCGCCACGTGACCTGGGTACCGTGGCGCCAGCGCCAAGGATTCACTGCCAAGTCCCTAGGCAGCGTCTCACATGCAACCCAACGCATCTGGCAGCGGATGAAACACTTCAGTCGGAACAGGACTTCCTAGGATAAGACCACGCGTCGTCCTTGACTTCTATGGTTCTCGGCGGTTACTTCGCCGCCGGTACAGAAGCTACTATACGGTAGCACCTGCCCAATCTTGTGCCTCACTGCCTCTCTACCGCGAGGCTCTGTTCGACCGTTGGTTGGAGCCCCTTGCTTCATTCTGCCTTTGGAGCATGCCATATCTCGCCATCTTATTTTAGAATAACCGATCCTGCGGAAACCTTCAGGATCGCCCGCAGGGGCCGGTTACACTGGGAGAAGCTCCGAAGCATTGGATGAGGTTGACGTTCTTCATGTACCCTCTCCCTGGGAGGACGTATACGCGCGCGGTTGGCCAGAAAACACCAACATCGAATCGTGACTACCCCTGGGCAATGGCAAGTCGTTCCGGAGCTTTCAGAAGGATTTAGAAGGATTCTAGCTTTCCCCGATGCGTGCTGTGTCCTGTCAAATAGCTCTAGCTGGGCGGCAAGAGAAATGATAAATATGTGGCAAAGGTCCTCCGGTCCTCCAACTATCGACTCGAGCCCAAAGTCAATCCGCAGTTTTCCTGCCTTTCTATTGTGTGCAAAGTCGTCGGCGCTAATCCTTGCCTACAACCTGACAGTAAGTACAAGGTCGAAGTGATAATTTGCTGAGGCACTAATGTATATAAGCATTGAGAGAACAGCAAGATGTCCACCTTCCAGCCCATCCACTTTGTGCCAAAGGCTCGACAGGCGCAAATGCTGGAGTTGCCGGTACGGGGAATTATCACTGCTCCACATGGCAAGAAAGCAGGCACCAATCATTGGTGTCTCTATCTGGTGACATCGGACAGAAGCTCTGTCCGTATTGATTGCCAACCAAGCTACTCTGTTCAAAGTACTGTTCTTCTTGGTGGATCAAAGGCCATCCTAGTCGTTTCGGAATTGCCATATGTCTGCTCCTACGATGCTCAGACTCGGTTCGACCTCCAAGTTTCTGCAAACCTCAAGGTTAAGGACGTTTACAACCTCCTGCTTCAGAACAACCGTCACAAGTATGAATTTGACTCGGATGGCGTTGGATGCAGGTTCTGGACGAACAGCCAGATTGATCTACTCCAAACGCACCGCATTCTTGTCAATCCCGCCGACGCCGCAGCCGCAAAGAGCGGCATCCTTCTGCTTTGGCCGGACAGGACTCCGCTAGCACTGGACCAGGGAGCATACTACCACTGAGTTTCGAGTTGTTCGATAAGAAGCTACATGGAAATGACTGTAGCTACGACTTGGCTTGGCAGATCTTGTTCCTTCTGGCCTACAAAGCTCTTTGATTTATTTGGTTTTTTTGGTTATGTTGTATCTCCTCAGTGTACAGCTATGTATGTATATATATATATTTGATGTTGACATGTTTCCGTTCCGTCGTGTTCGTGATTGTATCTTCACCTATATATGTGCGGTCTGCAATCTGTCTTGATTTCTTTGGTCTGTGCTTCTCCAGCTAAGAAGTATATAAGAGACGATACTATTATCGCCGTCTTTCTTGTACACACAAAACAGGGCATTAAATCTCACCACAAAGGTATTTACCACGCAGTTAGTCTGTATGCGGAGAAGTAAGTAGAGGGGCGCCACAAGGATATGCTGAGTACCTGATCGATATTCAATTAGCACGGTTCAGTCAATGATGTTTCAGGTTTTCAAGGCTCTGAGGATGTTTGTATACTTCACGTGTACGGAGGACTAAATCGACAAACGCGCAAAAACTCCGCTTTGTGTAAATACTATATACCGCTTTACTTACCACTTTTTATCCACCCCTTAAAAAAAAATTTTACCTTTAGTATAGCTAGGTTATTATATAATTTTTAAAGCCTTTATAATAGGTCGGCCACCTATTAATCTTAATTTTTATTAAAAAAAAATTAAAAATCTTTTTATAACTAGTTTTTATATTAATAATATTATTTTATACCTAAAGCACAAGCACTATTTTAAAGTTAATAAATATATAATTTAAATACGCCTTTATAACTAGGGATTAAATAAAATATATTTTTAAGTAATATTATATTTTTAAGTAATAACTTAGCCCTTTATACTTAAATTAAAGTTTTAATATATTAAGTTAGCCTTGGTAAAGTTAATATTTTTAAGGTTTTATATTTTAAAGGGTTTAAAATTTAGGCTTGTACACTAAAATATATTTATATAAAGTTTAAAATACTATATTAAACCTAGAATTTAATTCTTAATAAAAAAAAGGTAAATAAGGTTATAAAAACTTTTTATATAAAGCTTAAATCTAGCTAAATTAAAAATTATAAATAAAGTATACTAGTAAGTTATTTTTAAAGTAAGGGATTATTAATTAAAAGGTATAGGTAACTTAAAATATATATTATTTTTATAACCTTTTTTTACTACTAACTTTATATAAAAATTAGCTTTTTTTAATATATAAAAAACTAGCACCTAAGGCTATATAAAAATACTTATATAATTTTTAGTATTACTAGGGTACTTATATTATACCTAGGCTAAATTTTATTTAATTTATTAATAATTATTTTAAGCTAGCTTTATATAATATTAAGATTTATGCAGCTATTAATACTTACTTTTAATATATTATTTAAGTTTATATAGGTATTAGCTCTTATATAGCTGTAAGTATACTTAGGTAATTTTTAAATATACTTAAAGTTATTTTAAGGCAGCCTTGCTTTATATAATTTAATTAAAAAGGGAAAATAATTTTTTTAGTTAAGGCCTAGCACAAGCTCTAGTAGTTATATTATTTTAAAATTTTTATTAAAAATTATTATTTATATAAAACTAGTACTATAAACTAGTAAATTAAGGCTTAATAAGGGTAGTTAACTAAGAGTTTACTTTTTTAATATTAAGTAAGTTTTTATATAGTAACTTTAATTTTATATTAATTATATTAATAAGTATACTTTTAAACCCTTGTATAAAATAGGCACTTTTTTAAAAATATTTTAGCTAATTAAATTATTTTATATATAATTTACATGCCTATTATCTTAATCTAGATTATATTCTTTGTATAAACCTAAAATAACTATTTTATTTATAAGTAATAAAACTAGCCACACCTTATTATTAGCAAGTTTTTTATAAACTATTACTACCTAGTAACTAGTATATAAAACCATAATATTAAGTTTAATTTAAAGCTTTTTAAATTATTATAAAAGGATATATAGGCCTGGGGTAAGTATTATTTTAAATATAATTTAATTTTAACTAATTTTTATATACTAGATTTTAATAAGTATTTACTAGCTAAAACTTATACTTAGACTTATATAAAGCTTTTAAAGCTTAGCTTTAATTTTAAAAGCCCTTTAAAAAGTGCTAAAAATAATAATAACTACTTATTTATCCCCTTTTATATAATATATCTTACCCTTTAAACTAAGCTTAAAGCTTATATTAAAAATAAGCTTAAGCCTAAGCTTAAGCTTTTAAAAAAGCCTACTAATATATTTAACTAGGATTTATAGTTTATTTTAAATAGGATAAAAAAGGTAAAGTATAATAAAAAGCCTGGTAAAAATAATAATATACTTACTTAACTTAGTTAACCCTATTTATGGGTTATTATATAAAAATATAAAAACTTATTTTATTTTAATAAAAAAAACCTTTTTATATATAACCTTTTAAAATACCTTTATTAAAATTTTACCTTATAACTAAACAGCCTTATAATAATATATTAAGCTATAAATTATACCTTACTTATAATAAGCCTTTACCCTTTTTATAACTTTATATAAACCCTTAGTATTATATAAACCCCTAGCCTTATACAGGGAACCTGGCTCCCCCTAGTAAAAAGATTATTTTAATTAAAAATAATAATAATATACCTCCTGCCTTTTTTTAAAAAGCCCTCCAGGTCTTTGCCCCTGCTTTTTTATTATTAAAAAAGAAGTTTTTTAAATACTTTTAGTATTTTAATTATACAGGAGAAGCAAAGGATTACTAATAAAAGTTTATTACTTATATAACTTAAATTTTAATATAGGGAACTTCTTGTAAGGTTAAATTTTATTTTTTTATATAAAAAAAAATTTATAAAATTTAAAAGCCTTTGTCCTGTAATTTTATTAATATATTAAATTAATTTTTAAGGTTTAATTTTATTAATTTAATTAACTACTTTTTTTAAATATTTACTTTATATAAATTTATTTTTATATAGTTATTTTATATAAGGATTTTATTAGGGCCTGCTTAATCTAAAAAATAAAAAAAAATATATATAAATTTTAAAATAAGAATAACCTATACCTTATTACTATAATTTAATCCCAGCTATACCTGGTCTACCTTTAGTAATTAAATAATAAAATATAAAAAGTGGTTACTATTTTTAATTAATATAAGGTTTTAGGCAAGAAGAATTATTTAATTTATATGATTATTATAAAAAATATTATTAAGTTTACACTAAAGCTAGATTAAACACCCCCTAAAAAGTTTACTAAAAAAAAGGTAGTTATATAGAAGCTAAAAATTAAGATAAAACTAGTTATATAAAAGTTAAAGGTTAAGGCAAAGCCTAAGCTTAAAAAAAAGGCAGCTATATAAAAGCTATAAATTAAAATAAAACTAGCTTTTATATAAGGCCCTAAGATTAAGGAAAAACTAGCTTTTAAAAAGTATTTAGTCTTTTTTTTAAAAAATACTAAAAAACAGGCTATTAAAAAAAAAAAAAAACTAGCCTTTTTAATTTAGCCAAGCTTTTTATATAAAAAAAGCAGGAAAATAATAGTATTGCTTATTATATAAAAAGGTACTATTAAATTTAACCTAAGGATATTAAGCGCTTTATAAAATTTAGGATTTTTATTTAAAAAAAAAATTTATTTTATATAAAGGCCTTAATACCTTGTTAATTTTACTTGCTTTACTATTTTTAATATATTATATAAAGGCCTTAATACCTTATTAATTTATCCTGTATAAAGGCCTTAACACTTTATTAATTTTACTTACTTTATTATTTTTAATATACTATATAAAGGCCTTAACACCTTATTAATTTTACTTGCTTTACTATTTTTAATATCCTGTATAAAAGCCTTAATACCTTGTTAATTTTACTTATTATATAAATTAATAAAATTACTATTTATTTTAACTATTATTCCAGGGTTCCGCCTTTTATTTTTATATAAAGGGTTAAATGCCTGCTTTAAAAAGTTAGGCTTAGGGTTTTTATATAAAGCTTGTAATATAAAATACTTAGTATTTAAGTTACTAGTAAATTTATAATTTTAAGCTTAATTTTATTTTTATATAAAGGTAAGTTTAGGTTTATAGTACCACTATCTAGGCCTTTATATAAAGGTAAAATTAAGCCTAAAGTTATAAGTATAGTTTTTATATATATAAAGTGTATAAAAGTAAGTGCAGCCTTTATATAAAGGCAAGTATAACCTTATATAAAGGTAAGTATAGCCTAGTAAAGCTTTAATAGGCTTGTAAAATACTTAGTATTTAAGTTACTAATAAAATTTATAACTTTAAGCTTAATTTTAGCCTTAGTGCCTGGATAATAGTACTATAAACCTAAACTTACCTTTATATAAAGGTAAAATTAAGCCTAAAATTATAAATTTTATTAATAAAGCTTTAATAGGCTTGTAAAACACTTAGTATTTAAATTACTAGTAAAATTTATAACTTTAGGCTTAATTTTACCTTTATATAAAGGCTAAATAATAATACTATAAACTTAAACTTACCTTTATATATAAATTCCAGGCCTTTATATAAAGGCAAGTTTAAGTTTATAGTATTATTATTTAGGTATTAAAAGTTATTTTTTAAACTACTTACCTTTAAAAATAATTAGTATTATATAAAAATCTTTTTTTTTACATACCTTGCCCTGCGGAATACTTAATATTTAAGTTACTAGTAAAATTTATAACTTTAGGCTTAATTTTAGCCTTTATATAAAGGCCAGGAGTTATTTAGCCTTTATATAAAGGCTANTTTTTTTTTTTAATTATTATTAATATAATAGCATATATTTGGCCCTTTACCTTTTATTTCCTATTTTAAAAAGGTATTAGCTAACCTTTTATATACTAGTAATAGCCTTTATAAGGCCTTCTTGTATAAAAATAGCTAAGTAAAGCTATTTTTAGTATATTATATTATTAAAAATTAGTAAGTAACCTTTTTTCTCCCCTTTTAATTACTTTAAAACACTTATTAATAGCTTTATACGCTAGTAATAGCTTTTAAAGGTCTTGTATAAAATTTTTAAGGTTATTTTAATATATAATATTACTAAAAACTAATATATAATTTTTTTTTTTTTTTAGCTCTTTGCCTCCGCCCTTTAAGCTTTATAAAATACTAAATACCTTATACCTTACACTAGTTAAATATTAGCTAATAACTTTATATACTAATAATAGCTTTTAAAAGGTCTTGTATAAGACCTTTAAGGCTATTTAATATATAATAATTTTTAAATTTATTACTTATTTTAGTATTAAGCTAGCTTAACTAAAAATAAATTTAAGTATTATTTTTAAGTATATTTTTTAATAAACTCCCGCGGGTTAGCCTTTAAAACTTTTTATTAAAAATTAAAAGTTAGCCTAGTTTTATTATAATTATATATAAAAATAGTTAATAGCCTGTTTAGGTAGGTTAATAACTATTATATATAATAATATAAGGCCTAATTAAATAATATTATATTAAGATTTATATATAAACACCCTTTTAATTACTTCCCAGGGGGAAAAAATAAGTATTTTATATAAGTATTATTAATATTTAAGTGGTTTTTATTTTTTTATAAAATATATTTACCTTTTTAATATATTTAATAGGTATTATACTAATTATAAATAGTTAGATAATACTTTTACATGCATTATATAAAATAATTATTAAAAAATAAGATTATAAACTACTTTTAATTAATTTTAAAATTATTATTAAAAATAAGCTGCCCGCGGACCTATATAAAAAGGGCTTATTATAAATAATATAAAAAATTTAATTAACTTAAACCTAGAAAAGGGAAAGGCGGAGAATTTAATTAACTTAAATTAAGAATTTTTTTTATTTTTATATAATTAGTTAAGGAACACTACACTGCGGGTGTTTAGGTATTTAAATATTTAAGTATTTTTATTTTACCCAAGTGTTGGCTTGCACCTTTTTATAATACTTAAAATAAGTAGTTATATAATAAAATTAAGTAAGTTATAATATATTTAATTTTTTACTAGTAAAATACTAAGCAAATACATAGTATTACACTATAAGTGGAGTTTTTGCGCATTTATCAATTTAGTCCTCCGTACACGTGGGACAGTGAGACCCTTGTATCCGAAATGTTTCAGGATCGGATTGAGGGTGGACACCTACGGACCCATCAGCGAAACGAGCCACTGCTCCAGACGCGACACTCCAAAGGAAGATCTTCGATCATTGGATCTCAGGTTTCTAATCCCAAATCCCTGATAATATCAACCTACAACTGCTTCATTCAATATCCTGCGACCGCCGACCGGTGACTGAAACAGTGAGACTCGAATAATGAACGGTGTAGATCAGGCCTCGAAGGCACGCCTTTGTCGGGTCATGCTTCAAAGTGTATTTGGTCCCGAGGATATTTCTTAGTGGAAGCTCTAAGAATCGTACCTCTGCTCGCTGAGCTCAACGCCATGCGGAGGTGAGACCCAGGCCTCGTGCGCAGATTATCACCGAAGTTATTGATCCATCAGCCCTGCGACGGGTTGCCCGATCTCGGCGCTGAAATGAGGCCTTGAAAGGGGTTTCAGCTGCTGACCCTCCATCAAGGCATAAGGCTGCAAAGGCCTTGTCTAGCAAACATTATCCCAGACCCTCAAGGATGGTGGCTGCGCCGCTGCTGTAAGTAAAGCCTGTTTGACCTCGTATTCATAACTCCCCGTGCTCAACGCGGTGTTTACCCGCGAGGTAGAGATGAGCCAGGTATCGGAATTGCGCAAGAGTCCGGGGAAATGCAGCTAGACAATATGAGACTGCTCACGAACCTCCTGAAGAGGCTCCTGCTGGCTTGGCATGTAAGCAGATTCGCGTTCTAGGTCAGCTTGCGTCCCTGCACGATCTGACTGGTGGGAAGGCCAGGCCTGAAGGATTTTAAGGCTGCGATGGCGCTCGGTTCGTCCTGAATGGGAGCGGAGCGGAGATTTCGGTCCATGTCATGTCAGATCAGGCCTCTTCGACCTTGCCCTTCGACTTGCCTGTCTCTGAGCTAGGAACTGGGACTGGCCTGTGCCTTTGGAGTGAGTGCTGCAACTGAATAACACAAGTGAATCCTGCCAGTGGATACTGGGAGTGAGTGGATACCCAATGGAGCGGACTGGATATTATTAGGTCGAGCAGTGAATCAGGGACGCTGATCTTCAGCTGCATTCACTTGAGGCTCACTGATGTGGATGGAAGGGACTGTGGGCTCGAATATTTAAAGGGCCTTTCAGTCCCAGGAGCAGCATTCCAGGGCCCCAGTGTTTCCATTCTTTCATTACCATCCCTAGTCTCCATCGCACCTCTGACCTCACATTCCCAACATCAATGAACATGGTCCGCTTTTCCGTTTTAGCCTTGGTCGCCTTCTTGGCCGCGGTCTTTGCGCTGCCCCAGAACTTCTGCACCACTGTCTGTCGCCCCGTCAAGCCCGAATGTCCCTCTGGCCAGGTCGCTAGCGGAAATGAGGTACGACCCATATTTCTCCCAGTGCATGGAAGTCTATTAACGCGTGTCAATCAGGGCTGCTGGGGTTGCTGCCAATCCATCTCCGTCCTACCCATTAACGTCGCAAATGCAACCGATGTCTGCACTGCCGTCTGTCGCCCCGAGAAACCCGAGTGTCCTACTGGCGAGGTATACACTCCTTCCCACTCTGTCACCTGCCCTGGCTTTTGCTAATAAGAGAACAATTGTAGGCTCCGACCGGTCAGGAAAATTGCTGGGGTTGCTGCGAGCCTGTGGCGGAACCCGAAGGAAACATCTGCACCCTCGAATGCAAGCTTGAGAAGCCCGAGTGCCCTACTGGCGAGGTATGACCCCATTGCTTTTCACTTCGATTTCAGATCGCCGACTGACAATGTATTCACTTGCCGACAGGCACCAACCGGAGGAGAAGGCTGCTGGGGCTGCTGCCAACCTGTCCAAGAAAACGAAGGCAACATCTGCACCCTTGAATGCAAGCTTGAGAAGCCTGAATGTCCCACTGGAGAGGTACGCTCGCCATCTTTTGGTCGAAGCATCAGTGCTAACAGATTATCCGTGTAGGCTCCCACTGGTGGTGAGGTATGACTTTCAAGAATGCCTTTTGATTAACCTCTGCGCTCTGTCCGAAAAGTCCGTGATACTAACTATCCTGTCCAGGGCTGCTGGGGCTGCTGCCAACCTATCACAACGACCGAGAAGCGCGACGAGACTGAGGAAGACACCGATGTCTGTCTCGCCGTCTGCCAGGAAACGAAACCCGAGTGTCCTTCTGGAGAGGCACCCACCGGTAGTGAGGTACGCAACCACCTTCCCCTATCGATATCTGGATCGTGTTCGAACAAGTCTAACAATCGCAGGGCTGCTGGGGATGCTGCCAACCTATCGTCCATGAGAAAACAGTCGCTGACGATGAGGTCTGCATTGCCGTTTGCCAGGAGAAGAAACCTGAGTGTCCTGTCGGCGAGGTAAGTCAATTCTGTCACTTATCACTGATAGATTAACCCAGAGGCTAACGCTGTACCAGGCTCCAACTGGACAGGAGGGATGCTGGGGATGCTGTGAGCCCGTCGCATAAAAGCTATCCTTGAGCACATTGATCTTGGAATTCTCGCCTTCAGGATATTAGACATGTTGGAAAGCGAACTGTCTCCACCTTCTTGTTGAAATTTCTTTTGTCATCGTTTTTGTTTGCAGAGAATGGATTAGCATGCCATCTTAGTACTTCTAGGCCTAGCGCAATTGAGAGGTCTGCTGCACATCGCAATATAGTGTTCCAAGTCCACTTCACGTTCAGAAGTAGAGGCAGCGAAACGAAACAGAGATAAGTGTGCTCGTGCCCAAGTGTATATCTGTAGTCGGAGACAAGAAATAGTGAGATAATGCGCAGAGTGACACTGCCGAGAACTTGAAACTGACTTTGATGCCTTCGCCCTACGGGAAAGGCTTACTGGGGAAGGGTAGTTGTAACTCCGGACACTGCATATAGGACACCCAGTGGTGAAGTCATGTAAGGCCTAGGGAGCCCTATAGCCTGGAGGTATGGATACGCGCGTGATAAGCGAAGTGCCAGGCTTGATTCTGTCTCGCAAAAGGGAGTCTCTTTGGCCTCGTGGGGTTCAATATCAGAAGCATCGTCGACCGGGGTGTCATCAATGTCAGGGCTCGTTTCCATATCAGACGTCTCTTGTACGAGAGAAGAGTCTCCGATGCCGGGAGGCATTTCAGTAGCAGATGTCTTCTCAATGTCAGACGAGTGCGCTTCTTCCTCGTTCAGCCTTTTCCAGTGCTCGAGGACGTTCCTTGACCGTACAATCTCTGGATTGTCCACTCCCCAGCGTTGAGTGCTGAACTCGACATATTCCTCCATCAGATGGATGGCATCAATGATTTTGCCCATGTTTCTCCAGGTCCCGGCGAGGAAGTACATGCTGTCCAAGGTGTCAGGGTGTGCTGGTCCCAACGTCTTGGTGCGAAGTTTGAGCACAAGTCCTTCGAGCTCCTCCGCTTCCCGATATCGCGCCTGGTAAGTGTATGATGCTGTCAGGTGGGACATTGTCATCAAGGTATCTGGATGATCTCCGCCTAGGACATGACCGGCAATATCCAATGCGTGTCTAAGCAGCCCCTTTGCATCCTTGGCACGCGACTGCGCTATATAGATTCTCCCAAGATTCATCATGGATCTCAGAGTATCGGGATGTTCCAGGCCTATCACCTTCTCACTGGTATGGAATGCCTGCTCCATCGCGTGTCCTGCTTCATTGAACCGGTCCTGAAAGTAATAGGCCAATGCTAGATTATGCATCGTGGCTAAGGTCAATGGGTGCTCCAGTCCAAGCACCTCTGTCTGAATCTTCAGCACATGCGTTTGCAGCTCTTCTGTTTCTCTGTACCGTCCCTGGTTTCTATAAATCAGCGCGAGGTACCCCATGCTCTCCAAAGTATCGTAATGGTCCGAGCCCAGCACCTCCCGTCGAGTAATTAGTATTTTTGACTGCAGTTTTTCGGCTTCATCGAGCCCCCCCTGTTGCTTATAAACATCTCCTAACGTTTGCATGCAGCCCAGTGTCAATATATCATCGGGTCCCAGTACCTCTTTGCTAATATGTGCGGCCTGAACACCAAACTCCTCTGCTTCTTGTAGTCTTCCCTGGCGCAGTTGCAGATGCGCCAAGAAACTCATACATTCCAAAGTTTCCCATATATTATCTCCGTACAGATCCTCAAGAAATGCTATTCGGTGACGAGTGAGCAGCTCTACCTCCTGATACCTGCCGTCTTCATATAAGCAAAATGAGACTCTGCGGAGAAGATCCATATATAAGCCTTTCTTCAGTTTCTTCTTAAACGCATCATCTTCCATCAGTTCAAGTATATGAGGTAGGCATTCCCTCCACAGCTGTCGTTTTGTGTGATCGTATCTTGGGAATACCTGATTGAATCGGTTTGCTGCCTTCGCAATATAGGAGGATAGCTTCTGCTCCTTTCTTAGCCAGTTCCTAGTCGCCAGAAAGACTAGTCGATGGATGGAAACAGAGCCATCTCCTTGATGAGAAGTAATAAAAGAATAAGCGCCAAGAAGACCCAAGGCCTCGACCATTGCTAGCTTGGATTCTGGTTCGGGAAGAAATGACTCTCGGGATAGCTCGCGGATTGATACACGCCATAAGATAAAGATAGTCAGCTGCCAGTTCACTCAGCTTTTGAACCTGGCTGAATGAGATGTGCCAAGTTAGGGCCACTGGATTTTGGAGGTTATCATAGCGTCCCTCGTCATCATAGTCCTTGCTCAAGAGGTCACTGACGTCCTCTTCCTGTTCACGTAGAAGATCCAAGTAGTCACATAGTGATATTCCATTTTCATTGATGAAGGCTGTAGCCTGAGTGATGGCTAATGGGAGGAAGCTCAGTTGCTCAAGGAGAGCCATTCCAGTCGCCGTGTCGTCAAGTAAATTCTTATCGATCAGTGACTTCTGCAGGATGGTCATGCTGTCCGCCTCATTCGGCTCGACAAGTTGTATGACATAGCTCGAGGGAGCGGCCATTCTCACAGCGAGTTGTCGACTGCGAGTGGTGAAGACAATACGGCCGTGGTCGCTACTAAGAAGAAAGTCTTTCAAGGCTGACAATCTTCCCGAGTCTTTTGATTCGGACGCATGATCCTTCTCACTGGTCCACATATCCATATCATCTGCGTTGTCGAAGATAAGAAGCCATTGCTCTTTGGTCTGGGAAAGAAAGGACTTGACCTGGGTTTTCACGAAGTTCGGTTCGGCATGGATTCCAAGCGTCTTCGCAATAGCGAGGTACGCCTGCTCAACAGCTTCCCGACTAATACATGGGAGCCAAAGAACTGAACAATTCGGTTCATCGTCTCGGGTTTGATATGCCAGCTCGAGAGCCACCTGGGTCTTTCCGACCCCACCTAGTTCGGCAATGGCAATCTTTCTGGGTCCATTTGGTGTTGAAGTCCATTCTTTAAGTTGTTGCAATTCGTGCTGGCGGCCGACAAAACGTGGGTTCCTTGCAAATGGAACCATAAAAATGGGTTATGGCGGATGGATCTAGAGATTTTACAATCAATATCAAAAACCCTTTGTTTTTCGGCCGATGACTGATCTGTGTGCAATGGCTCCCAGTATTTCAAAAAGACCTTAGCTGCAGAAGCTTCAGTTGCCGCCGCGTATGTTTGCCATAGTTTGTTTTTATGGCTGTCCGCATAATCACATACACCTTTGATGACGACGCAGGAAATATTATTGCACACGCCAGCTCCTTCCATCTCGAAGGCGGCCACCTTCTCCTTGCGAATGATGGTGTCGCGATGTTCGCCGGACTTGAGAACAGTGTCCGCGGATGCAACCGTGCCAATATAGACAGACGGAGCTGACGCTGCTGCGTAGTTAGTTCTCGCCGGCGGACAATCTGGCTATGATCGCATCCGAGGTCGTCGCAATGCTTGCTCAGCGCAACGGTACAAATGTCATCAATTTCACAGGCCCCTGTGCAGTCGAGAGGAGCGTTGTCGACTGAATGCTTGTGAGGATAGGAAGCCTCAAACAAAACGTCAGCTATATCCGGGCGTTTCCACCTTGCCTCTGATTGCTGGAGCGTGTCAAGACAAGCTTTTACTTGACTCCCGAACTCCATCAAGGTCCGAGTCGCCTTTAACCCGGTAATAAAGGTCCGGAGCTGGCGATCGGGTTGTCCTCCGAGCGTGTCTTTGGCGTCTATTTTCCGCTGAAAGCCACCTGGATATCGGCGGCCATAATCGTACTCGACCACTGAGTCACTAATCACCACATCGCCAAGATATATTTGCTCATGGCCCAAGGATGGTGCTCCACCGCAAATACCAACAACAAGTGCAAGCTAAATATTCCGATAACTGACTCGAAGGCTTGAGGTGGCACTGGCGGCACTTCCTTTGCCCATTCGTGGTAAATAGCAAAGTACCACATTATGTTTTCCAACCCGTCCATTCACAGATGCGTTTGCATCACCTGGTTCCTTTCCGTAGTGTCTCCCGAGGCGATCGAAAGTCTCGTCGAAAACAGCTTTGACAGCGTCGGCTTCGAGCGTGAGGGCGCAGACAACTGCGATCGTAAAATCATTTCGACTCCGCGGGCGCATGTCAATACATCGGACTGCCTGAACAAAAGCAAAGATGATGAGTCAAAGAGCTGCTGATGGTCAACTTGAGGAAATGTGGTGGTTGATAATCGAGGGGATGAGAAGTGGGGGAAAGCGCAAAGCTCAGCCTCCGCCCACTGCTTCGACCTGCCAACCAACTACGAAGCTGGTTTTGGCCCCCCAAGAGGCGCAGTCCGCCGCATATATCGATATCCATGACATCAACAGTAGTGGATACGCAGGCTATGAATGATGGTCTGGATTTCAAGGCATACTATGCGGACAAGCATCTGTGTTACGCAGGTCTCCTGTTACCAACCAACAAAGTATATATATTGATAGGTGCTTCGCTGGTTGCCGCTCACAACAGCCATCACACCAGTCCAGTCTTTTCATATACCCAGGGCCTTTCTGGCACATGGACATCTTCGTAGAAAATCTCGTGGATAAGGGCAGCGTGTAGCAGGTCACAACTTTAAGCACATCTGACTACCCAGGGTCCCATGGATGCCGGAATGAGTCTCCTCCAATAAGAAGCCGCGGATTGTGCATGCGACTGTTTATTCGCACATGATTATCGAGGCCGAAGGATCCAACACAACCTCAACCCGAACAAACTTCCTACTTCATTAGCGACTGATGCGTCCTGAATTTGAGAGGTGAAGATTCTTCTTTTCTTTCGACTTATTATCTGTACACTGCTAAAAAGCGCAATCAACCGAGATGGGCTGGCTGCGGGGTGAATCCGACCAGCGCCCCGCCTCCCCCGCAGATTCGGAGGAGCCGCTGCTCAACGACACCGACCACGATCACAGCCGTCGCTCGAGCCAGGACGAAGAGATACAGAGACCTCACAAAACCACCTCCTTCTCACGGGCTCAGACTGTAACCCTCTCCATCCTCCTCACGACGAGCATCACGACGGTCTCTGTCCTCATCTACCTACTAGCAACCCACAAGCTCCCCCCGCAACCGAACCGACCGACAAACCGCCCGCACCATCAGAACAAAGCACTCATCAAAAACGTCGTCGTCCTCGTTCAGGAGAACCTCTCCTTCGACACTCTCGCGGGCGGTCTTACTTATAACCCTGACATCAATAATATCGCCAACCTCCCTCTCAATGAACGCTTCTGCAATCCCTCGAACATCACCGATCCCTCCTCCCCGCTCGTCTGCGCACAGCCCCTCGCAAAGAACATCGCCGCAGATGACCCCGACCACAGCATCGCCGGCGGCAACTTCCAAGTCTATGGAACAGACCACCCCGACCCCTCGATCCACAAGCCAACAATGCAGGGTTTCGTGAGCGAGCAGATCCGCGCGTACGGGATAAACGGGGACCTGAACCGGGCCGCGGAGGTGATAAATTACTACAAGCCCGAACACATCCCTGTCTTCGCCACGCTCGCGGAGAATTACCTCCTCTTTGACCGGTGGTTCGCGGCCGTCCCGGGCCCTACGAATCCGAACCGCGCGTACCTGACGTCCGGGACCTCGCACGGCCACGGCTGGAATGACCCGTCCTTCGACCACTCGTCGCTCCCACAGACTTCGGTCTTCCAGCAACTCACAGAGGCAAATATTAGCTGGATCAACTACTCGAATGCAACGGGGTTCGCACCAGACGCGCTCTTCTACACCTGGACCGCGAACTCCGAACAAGCCCGCAACGCCATCAAACCAATCGACCAGTTCTACACCGACGCCGCAGCCGGAACTCTGCCCCAGTTCACCTGGATAAACCCCGAGTGCTGCAGCTACACCTCCTTCCACCCGCCCTCTCCGACAGATCTCGGCGAGGGCTTCGTGAAGAGTATCTACGAGGCGATCCGGAATTCCCCGCAGTGGAACGAGACGCTTTTCATACTTACGTTTGATGAACATGGTGGCTTTGCGGACCATGTCGCACCTCCGGAGAATGTTCCGCCTGGAGATGACATCCCATACACGGAGGTTGCGAGGGATGGTCACCCTACGACGTTTCACTTTGATAGGCTTGGGATTAGGGTTCCCACGATTCTGATCTCGCCGTGGGTTGAGAAGGGGGGCGTTGTGCATGCTCCTGCTTTAAAGAAGGAGAAGGGGGAGTATACACATACGTCCATACTCAAGTATGTCTCTGAACTTTGGGGTCTGAAGATCCTGACCCCGCGAGTTGAGTGGTCGGCGAGCTTCGGAGATCTCATTTTGAAGAAGCCAAGGGCCGATACTCCCGCTCGATTGCCTGAGCCTGTTATCTTCTAACCTGCTATCTTCTTCCTTGGTACGATTCTTTGGATAGATGGTGAAGATGGACTCATTATATCATAGATAATGAATCAAATTGGATATATAACAAAACGCTCAACATCCGCCTCCATGTTTAGCTAATGCTCTGCTTATAAAACACTCTGAATAGGGCCCTGCACCGCCTCCTTCGCCCACGTCTCCTTGACAAAATCCGCGCATCGCTCTCCGATTCCATAAGCCGGCATCTGCGTGTGGCCACCATGCAGCGCCGGCATGACACTACAGTCCGCAACTCTCAGCCCCTTGACCCCGCGGACACGCAGCCTATTATCGAGGACCGCGTTCGGATCGTCGGCCTTGCCCATTGCACAAGTTCCGGCTGCGTGGTAGCCTATCCAGAAATAACAAGGTCAGAATCTGAGACAAAGGGGAAAGGGGCTATTAGAAGGGAAGTGAAAAGACGTACAAGTCGTCGCATGCTGTCTCACATACGGAACCCACTGCTCGCGCGTCGTATATGTGTGGTGGTTAAGGTTCTCGGGCCACGAGCCCTTGACGATATCCTTTGTCCCGGCACCCTTGGTGACGATCTCGTTTGCGAAGCGGCACGCTTCACTCAAGACCAGCATATCCAGTGGATCAGCGAGGTAGTTACAATCAATGACGGGGTTGTCATTGGGGTCTTTGGATGCCAGCGTCACGGTTCCGCGGGACTTTGGCGCAAACAGTTCCGCGATTATACTGAATGCGTGCTTGTGGTCGACAGGGAACTGGTCGTATTGCTTTGGTCCGCCGTATGTCTCGGTTGAGAAAAACTCGATGTTTGGTTGCTTTGGCGTCAAGCCCATGGGGTCTCGACCGGGGAGGCGGGGCGCATCGCGCCAGAGGGCTTCGTTCTTTAGGCGCTCGTCTAGCCGCGCGAACGCGAAGGAGCCGAAGGGGAATGTGGACAGGAAGCCTGTCTTGTGCTCTTTGTATTCTTGAAGGGTCGTTTCGAGGGCATTGTCGTGGTAGACTTTCGAGCAGTTTGTGAGACCGGATTTGTTCGCTTCGTAGAAGATGAAGACGATCTGTTCATGGATCGGTTAGTGAGGGATTCTGGGAAAGGGATAAGGTGGGAAAAGAAAGACATACAAGGTGATCCATCAGGTTCTTGCCTACCCCAGGAAGATCGACAAGGCAGTCGATGCCGAACTGCGCGAGTTCATTTCGGGCGCCGATGCCGGAGCGCATGAGGATTGCGGGACTGCAGTATGCGCCGCCAGAGACAATGACTTCGCGTCGAGCATAGTACGCCTTCTCGCTGCCATCTGCGGAGCGAGTCAAGACACCGACTGCTTGCAGACCATCTGCTGTTGGCTCGATGAGGACGCGGTCGACGGTCGCGTCAGTCTGGATGGTGATGTTGGAGCGGTCGTACTCTTTGGTGATGAAGTCGGCGGAGGTGGTGCGAATGCCCTCGTACACAGTGCGAGGAACGTGGCCGCAGCCATGGGGGACGTCACCAGTGGAGAACATGTCATGGTGAAGAGGGAGGCCTTGGTCGACGAAGGAGTCAATCAGACGGTCTGCAATGGGAGCAAGGTCATGAGGTTCTGTATGGAGGGGGCCAGAGTAGCCATGGGCGGACTTGTCTGCTTTAAACCAAGGCTTGCTGTGGAATGTTTCGGACTGTCCGAGTTAATCATCCAAATGGTCGAAAGAGTCGCGAAGTAAGTACCTTCTTCATAGCATCGAAGAACTCATCGCCGCTCCAGCCTTCTAGACCCCAGTCATCATAGTCCTGTTTGCACCCTCGAATGCATAGCGTGCCATTGCACCCACTGCTGCCGCCGAGAAACCGGCCTCGGCTGAGCTTGACCTGGCGGTCATCGACCCCGGCCATGGGCTTCGTGATGAGGTTCCAGTCGGTCTCGGAGTCAAAGTTGTTGGACCATCCGCCGGCCATGTGTACGTTCTCAAGGTCGCGATTGTGCTGCCCGGCTTCGATGAGAAGGACGCGGACATTCTTGTTCTCAGCGAGGCGTCCAGCAACCACGCATCCGGATGTTCCTCCTCTGCTGTTGTTAGGTATACATCCTGAAATGGTGGAGCGGGAGGACCGTACCCGCAAACGATGTAGTCGTAGGCGTTTTTGGTGTCAGCCATTTTCAAGGGATGTTATGCCAGAAAATGGAAGCGGGTAGCACCGCACAAGAGGAGGCATGGTCCTCTTTTAAAGCCGGACTGTTTTAAAAGCCGGCCTGCTGCAAGGCAAGCGCGGAAACGAGCGTTAGGCTATCGACTAGGGATTGTACTGTTGTACAATAACGGTCGCTGGTAACTGGCCCACATCTCCGCTGGTGCCACTCGAAAGGCCGGTGATCTTTGCCCCAGACAGAGCTTCAGGCGGAGATTCTCCAGGAGAAATGGCGGGAATTGACTGCGGATTCCGCGAATGCGGGGAAGCTGCCAAAGCAGTCAGCCAGACCGAGGAGTGCGACGTCGAAAACTCCGGCTCAGTTCCGCCATCTTCACTGCAACAATGCCCTTGTGAAAGCTTCCATAAAGACTGGCCGTGAAGATGCCAAGCAGCTACAAGAGCTGGTGTGCTTTAGCGCTGGAACGGTGGACATTCTCGGTGGAGCTGGAGCTAGCGGCCTCCTTCCGTCCTGACTCTGACTCCTGGGAGAGAGCGTTCTCTGCTGGATTTGAGGAACACATCCCCTTCACATTCTCCAGAGCTCTCTGCTGGCCTTTCCACCTGCCGACTTCAACGTACCCGGGCCCTTCCTTCTATAACCTCATTTCAGATTCCGTCTTTGAACCCGCCAATCCGGAAAAATATACAAAAGCTCGATCGTTGCAAGTACATAGCTTTCAGCTGCTACTACTCTGCGTGATTATTGTCTACGGGCGGTAGCCAAAGTCCAGTCTTCATAACAGATTAAAAACTGCCAGGTCGGAGCTCTTCCGAGACACAGTCTGGACCACCCAAATGGCGGCAGGGGCATCGTCTTTTGACTACTGCAGTCGGCAGTTGTTTGACGAGGAGAAGCAACCCGAATCTACCACTTACCGAGGTCGCCGGCGAGATCCCTGTCGGCATTGCATTGAATTGATTAACTGGATCCACGGTGGACCAGCTAATATCTTGTCGGCCCCATCCCGTACGGCCCGAATATCCTCCCGCCAGGCATACTCCGTACGACTGGAAGTACTACATTGTATAATGTATGCTGGCGTTGACCATGTTCCGGGTCCAAAAAGCAAGGGGCCTGTCTTCGGTGCACTGCCCACTGGCCTAGATGGGTCCCACAAGCCAATACTCCTAGGCCAGGCCTTCACCGTACTTTTGCACTCTGGACGATCCCTCTCGTTTTCCTTCGTTCCAATAACCAAATTTTCCGTCAATGACCCTGAGCGGCGGGAATAGTGTGTCAGCATGTGTATTAATGGGTACCAATCTGGTGGTTGAATCCCAATTTCTGCAGTCTTCATGTTCTAAGACTTGAGAGACTGGAAACGAGTGCAATGGCGACCGCGACCCCTTTCCAGAAAGAAGCGTGGACCGAATATGGCGTAGGAGTGCTGGTGCTTCTCCTCCGCATCTTCGCCCGCCTGAGGGTCGTCGGCATCAAAAACTGGCAAGGAGATGATTATTTTGCCATCGTTGCTCTCATTTTCTGGACGGTATGCAGCTTGAGCACAGGAGTAGCAGGGATCAAACTAACGAAACAGGCCGAGCTAACAATGCTTGAGCTCATCGGTCAGTACGGCACCAATATCGGACTGTCAGACCAAGAGCGAGCGTCCATGTCGCCAGACCGGACAGCCAGGCTTGTCGCCGGGTCGAAATGCCTACTCGCCGGATGGACGTGCTATGTGACGCTGATCTGGTCTCTCAAGACGTGCATGTTGTTCTTCTACAACCGACTCACGTAGGCCTATCCCTTCTCCTTTGCTGGCATCATCGTCTTAGTAACCCTGATTCAATAGCCTCGGCCTCGTGCAGCAAAAGCTTGTCAAGATAAATGTCGTTCTCTGCGGCTGTACTTATGTTGCCGTCATCCTCACCATCTTCCTGCACTGTCGCCCGCTCTCGAAGCACTTCCAAGTCTACCCAGATCCCGGCCGTGCGTTGCCAGTCTCTGTGCCCTGGATAATACACTTTGCTCATACCTGGCAGTCAACTGCTCCGCGGACTACATCAACTATATCATGATAGCGACTACGAACGTCGTGTACGAGCCATCCAGTACTCCACCTCGACTCTCACTAACGATCCAGGACCGACGCCATCCTCCTCTGCATCCCCATACCTCTTCTTGCCAAAGTCCGCCTCACAATAAGACGGTCGGTATCTCCTCGCGACATAAAGTCAGACACTAACGCCCACAAGTAAGCTGGTCATCGGCGTCCTGCTCTGCGGCGGCGTCTTCGTCATGGCAGCAACCCTGCTCCGCTGCATCCTCTCCCTGCAAGACATTAATAGCATAAACAACAGCACCGTCTGGGCGATTCGTGAAACGGTGCGCACTCTTTCCCCTTTCCTCGCTGTTACCTGACAAAATCCGCTCATCAGTTCGTCGCTATCATCGCCGTCAACGCCCCCTGCATCAAGCCGCTCTTTAGCACCTCCGTCTGGCTGCGCTCGTCGTCAAAAGACCCATCGTCTAATCATGGCCACTATCATTACGGGAAGAGCAGTGGCGCGGTTAGCTTCGGGATGTCCGCGCTGGGCCGAACGAAGCATGCGCAGCTCGAGTCGGCGGTGTCAAGGGTTGGAAGGGACAGCGACGAATTTGGCATGCTGCGTGAGGACAATCAGCGGAGTGTTGCGCTTGCAAGCGCGAGTCGTGGCGACGGGAGTAGCTTTGATGAGAATGATGCTGATGTCCGGGGTGGGAAATTGGGGACGGGGATGGCCAAGGGCGGGATTCAGGTCACGACCATGTACGAGGTGCGAAGGGACGGGCGGGAGTAGACTTGATCGCGATTGCCCATTAGGTACTTCTAGAAATTGCGGCGAGTGAATAAGAGGCTACTCGAGAGAATGGAGGAAAGAGCAAACCCCCGCGTGTTGCTGCCGGGCTACAGTAGGTATCCATCTGCCAACCTCTTCTCGAGTTCCCGGAAACTTCCAACTTCGCCCATCTCAATCTCAATCTTCTCAAGTGCGACCTATCACCAAATCGTCGAATCAGGCCCCGCCATCAATTCTTCTTTTTCGCAGAACGAGCATACTCTCGGCATCTCCAGACCAGACTACCTTCGCGGACACCGAGCGCCGAGAAGGCCAACCACGGCGCAGCCAGCACCAAGCCTCTTGACGAACAATCTGGCTAGAGCTACAGGGTCTCGGCCGAACGATCCATGACACTACAACATTCTAGCGAATCAAGTCCTACCCTTCGGTCTATGACTCGGCGCGATGACCTCTGGGCCCTGGCCCTTGTTGGTGGCTTCGATTTGCTGCAGCGAACCCGACCCCCTTGTTGCAGTTCCAGCACCTGAACCGACCGCCCCGACACCATATTGTTGCATCGTGATAACTCCCCATGAGCTAAGTGATGACCTTGGCGGAACTTCTCCCACGCCCCCGAGCCGGCAATATGCAGAGAATGAATCGATCAATGCACTGCCCCGGACATGGTCTCTATAAATCCCGACGAACTGGTGCTGGACCTTGAGTGCTAGGAACGAGCAAGGTCACGAGCTTTCATTGCCAGAGAGATTTGCCACTGGACATGGGCCGGCCTGGCCTACCTGACAATCTGGAATGTCGAGCACCATCCATGGAACATACGCCGCTGGGCTCGTCTGGGCCAATCGCAAACGCTGGATCTAAAGCGCCGACAGACTCATAGTATGGTGCAACCCAAAGCACAGGGACCAAAGCATGGGCGTTTCCATCATTCAACAAACTCAGTTTCTCCAGTGCATCCACGTGGGTTCTGGACTGTTCGATTGTTCTTCGCCGTTGTCTAGAGGTGATTTCATCGATCTCAGCGACCAGCGTTTTCGGGGTTCAACTTGCGAATACCTTTGTGCTCAACCATCCATATTGCCATCAATTAAACACCCAACGTTGGACGGGGTTTACGGTATATTGAGACAGAATACGAGACTGCCTAGACCAGCCCTTTCGGTCCCTCCTATTGGCAAGCCACTCGCTGCTTATGGACTGGTGCCAATGCGGTTCATGACCGCACCCAGGGGTGTGGTAAAGTAACCTTAACCCTCCGTAACGCAACTGAGAACCGCCGAGTCTAGACCTTAGGCACTGATGCTCCATCTCGGGCCCTGCCGCGATCCAGATCCTGCATGCCAAGTACATGAGATCATCGACTTTGGATATATACTGCAGCGCCTTCGACCGTTGAGATTCCAGGGGCTACTTTCAACTTCCCCATATCACTTCTATATTCTTTGCACCCATATTTTTGTTGCAAGCAATGCCGGTTGACAACTACGGGGTGTGGAAATGCCACCCCGTGGACTACAAACTTGAACAGCGCAATCACGGGCCAAAATCTCCCCAACTATCGCTGTATTTCACAGACCAAGTTACAGATTGCAAGCAACATGGTACAGGGGTCGCCACTGACCATGAAGGTCACGGCCGCTACCGAGCATGTATCAACATCACCTCAGGCGACCTCGATGACTCCCGGCTTGTCTACTGGGTCAACCACAACATCGACCAAAACCCAATTATCGACGAGATCTCTCGCCTAAGCTACGGCTTCCACTCAGCCGAGGACCGCAAAGACAGTCTGGGACTCGACTACATCCGCCACAGCCTCTTCAACACAACATACGGCCGCCTCCTGCCCCACGACATCCCCGGCCAATTCAACGACATCATCGACATCCTCCAGCCAAACATCGAGCAAGCCATCCGCGAAAAGGCAGAACTATACCTCTTCGGTTCACGCTGTGAGAAGCGCAATGGGATGCATAACATCCACATGAACCAAGGCAACGGCCGCAAATTCCGCGCCGACGACGGCGTCTACCGCGACGGCGGGCTCATCTTCCACTTCACCTGTCCCAATCCTGGCTCCGAAGATGTCCGTGACGAGTGGCTGGGGGTCTTCCTTGCCTTTGCGAGTCAGGCCGTACACACGAGCGACGAAACCGGGCACGCGATCTCCGGCGTCGGGTGGAGCGATATCCTCCGCCCGGATATCATCGAGGATGGCGTCGTGATCCAAGAGGCATTTGTGAAGTCCGACTCGGAGTCAGACTCCGCTATGGACAAGGGGTCGACCCCGCGGCCGAAGCTAGGCAAAAGGCGTAAGTCACTGACAGTGACTCTCTCGAACCGTACAGACCGCGCTGTCCGCCTCGGCGACTGGAGGATTAGGAGTAGTTCGGGCTGTGTCCATACCTTGCCGCGGGGAGCAGCGCTGAGGCCACGGGTCGATCAGATGTTCGAGCTCGCTGATTGTCCGCTTTTGCCGACCGGGGATACGATTCTTCTTCTAAATGAGCATGGCCTGAAGGTGGATGGGGTGAGCTATAACTCGGCGCAGGGCGGGATGAAGGGGAAAGGAGGCGCGATTGTTTTTGCACACTAACATGGACTTCGTCGTTCGGTTTACTTTGAGGATAGCGAGGTTTTAAGATTTCGATTTTGAAAAGTGTATTGTTGTCGCACACTGTCCATGATAAATCAATGCAAATTCCAGTTATCGGCTACTTCAAATGCAGTAGTAAGTGGTCTATGAGCATTATGATATTATTCAGTCGTTAAGGTTACGCGACGGAGTTGGCGACGGAGATATAGCCTCGTATAGTCGACAAAGCAAATCATCTTAAGACAATCATCATGATCACCAAAAAATATGTGATGTTAATGTACATAACGCTACCGAGGCTAGGTAGAGGCCCGCCGAGAATGGTTCATTCCACTTAGCTTCGCTCGAAGGGATAGAAAACCGGCGACCCTTGGCTCTGGACAAAAGAACGAAATCGGCTTAGCCTCTGGAGCAATGTAGAAACAAGCCCAGCTGGGTATTATATAGGTTGTGGTAGGGCATAGGGCTGGGGTGTCAAAAAGTCGGGCCGGAGTAAAGTGGTGTCACGTCTCGAGGTTGAGGGACCAAGGTTGAGTCAAGTCACAACCCCGTTAGCTATGCTTATTCCCTTCTAGTCCTGTTCCATTATTTTCAGGACCATGCGCAGAGACCTCGGCAGCTGCGGTATGCCCAGTGCTTTTAGGGCTTCCCGCCAAGATCCCTTCAACATCCATGGGCTCATCGTAGGTGTACGTTATAGACGAGTGTCCTGTTGAGTCTAACGGCTGCATCGTACTTATCTCGAGATCGCGGTTCACCTGCGTCTTGTGCGGCTGATACTGGAGCCAGCTATGTCGGGTCAGGCGACGTCTTGAGGAGCCTGAAGTATGCGGATCATTTGAGCCAAAGAATTCCCTAACACGGCAAAACCCAGATGCTAAGGGCTTGTATATAATTGGAAGGTTGGCGCAGAGGATGCCCCCGAGTGGTTCCCAGATGGAGATAATGCCGAAAGTCACGCCTTTCCCTGGAGTAACTTCCCCTGGAGTATTTCCAGACGTAAATAAGCTTCAGAAAATGTGATAGATGGGACTTGGCCAGTTCAAAGTAAGCAACAAGGCCACACTTACAGGTGTACGTCGGAGAAGTCATGTCGGCTATGAAACCGAGTCTGACAGCGCTGAGAACACAGGTACTAAAGTGGAGGGGTTAGGTTCAACGTTCTCGCGCATTTGCTGGATGAGGGAGATTGACGAATACGTACCCAAGCCCGACGGAAAAAAGCCCACAGAGCAATACCTTCTTTTTAGTCGTAATGTTCAGCCTAGCGATGAGAGGCAACGGAAGGATAAAGATCCATATGTCAAGGCATAGGTTGCTGGTCGAGTAGAGGGACAGACCAGTGACGGCATTCGAGCACTCCCCCAGCCCTTCCTTCTTCATATCTTGGTCCCAGAACCGTTGTATAGGCCGACATGTCAATGCCCACGCGACCTCAATCACTATAAGCCAAATAATAACAAAGATCGTGGTCGTGAGCCCGATTCTCCGGAAGGTAACCGAGGGAAAAGCGCGATGGTATAAAGCAAGAACAGAGAGCTTGGTGCAGGCATTTGCGACAAGGTAGAAGTGAACACTTATGTAGACGATCTAAGGCGAAAGAAAGAATGGGTATCAGTGATGAAACCCTACTGCGTCTTAGTGGAACTATACTTACCTTCAGCAAAGGCGTGATATTCTCCTCTGGGATGACTTCAAGGTGTCGACCGAAACCGTATCGGGGTGCTGGAAACGCCGCGAGAGTGTCAGCACTCAGCAGAGACGAACTTCAGTGGAATCATTGCGGCACATACCTTGTAGGCTTATTACGCAGGCTCCCACGCTGACAACCTTAAGAATATAGAGCTCCTTAGCGAGGATGACATCTCCGTGCCGGTGGCGAGACGTACCGTGGCCCAAATAATCAAAAAGTCATCCGCAGCAAGATTGCCTCGACGATGCAAGCGGAGCTCAGCCCAGAGGCGCAAGCCCGTCGAGAAGAGTTCGATCGGAATGGGGAGGGAAAGCGCGATGTAGGCCGCCGTTACCTTGGACTGCCTAAGGTACGCGGGGTCCGAATCGGCGGCTCCAGACAAAGAGTCCATTGCGACGGGCCCTGCCATGAATTCCAAGGGGACGTGCTTGCATTTGTGTCACCCTTGAGGTGATAGAGTTGCGATGGTGTTCCTGCGGGATCTAGCGGCGCCTCATTCTCTTTGTCGGCGGCATTTTGTATTCAGCTCCCCGGCCAATCCAGAAGTAAACATTCCGTGACTGCCGCCCTCCCGTCACAGCCTAGCTGAGTCCCAGAAATAGAGAATCTACCCTGAATCTCGATCGTATCACATTTCGACATCCGAGCCCCTTTTGCATTGGCCCATGATCGCCATGCCATCCTGACTCGGAGTCAGAGCTGGGGCATAGTCCACTGCAGCAGCAGTACAATAAGTAAAGCCTCTGGGGAACGGTAAGTCTACAATCCTCAGTAGATAGCCGGTGATATTTGCGTGCCTAGAAATAAATGTGCAACCTGGGAGTATAGGATTATAGGGCGATATCTCCAGTTCAAACACGATCTGTATCTCCCACCTTCGTGGAGCCGGTATCTTCCAATCGACCTGGCACCAAAATCCCGCCTACATCCATTGGTTCCGAGTACGATGGATGCTCGGTATAGTCTCCTGATGATACGGTCAAGATTCCCAAACGCGCGTTCCTCTCCCGCTGCTTCATGACTTTGTGCAACTGATACCAACTGTGCGGGCTTCCTTCTGGTGAACCGTCCCCGCGAGCCGATCGAGATGTACAGGCGATACTGCGAAATCCGTCCGCAAGGGGCTTGTATATGAGAGGCAGGTTGGCACAGAGAAGTGCACCCAATGGCTCCCATATTCCCACGATGACTAATGGAACGCCTTCCCCTGGTAGTTTTGTTCGCTATCAGTTAGTTGCTTCGAAGAGTCTTTTGTTGAACCTGAGGGGGATGCAAAGAAAGGGGCCGGGCGGTTGCGTCCACGTACAGCTAAATTTCCGAGAATCCACGGTAAAAATGAAAGCAATTCGGACAGCGCAGAGGATGCAGGTGCTTATATTGAACATGTCAAGTCAGCGTTCTGAGATCGGTCACGAGTAAGTTGAATAGGAGTTCGGGAACACGCACGCCAGCCCAACCGAAAACAGGCAACCAAGCAGAGCCCTTTTCCTCGTCGAGATGCGCATCCTAGAGATCAGAGGAAGTGGTAGGATCAGTATCCATAGGTCCATGGCAAGATTAGTGACAGCATGAAATAGACATGGTAGGATTTTAGGGCCGCATTTGCCGGGGAGTGAGGGATCCCATTGTTTCTGGATGGGCATGCACTGGATACCCCAGGTAATTTCAGCAACCACCAGGCAGACAACAACGATCACGGATGTTATTGTTCCTAGGTACCGAAGGGTAACGGAAGGAAAGGCCCGGTGATAGAGCGCCAGTACCGAGAGCTTGGTGCAGGCGTTGGTGACGACGTTGAAGTGAATATCTATATAGCTCATCTTTCAAGACTAGTTAGCATTTAGTAGTAACTTTGATGAAGCGTCTTACCATCATCAAGGGCTTAAGGTCTTCTCTCGGTATTGCCTCGATGTGTCTTCCAAGCCCGTATTGCGGTCCTAATGGGTAAGTACAAGCGCGAACGACCGGGGTGCCTACATACTTAGAAGAGCTGTCACGCCGTTTGCCACTATGGCGAGCTTGAAGGTTTTCGTCAGCTTATAGGCCTTTCTAATGCATGCTGTTTGTTGGATGGGTTATAGAAGATCACCGTCGACACGATCATGAGGAAATCATCAACTGCCAAGCGGTTTCGGTGTAGACGAAGCTCAGCCCAGATCCGGATAGTTGTCGAAATAATTGCAATAGGGATTGGAAGCGAAAGACAGACATAGAGCTCTATTGCTCTTGACTCGGCGAGGTACGCAGGACTCAGCGTCGGGGTCGGAACAGAGCCAGACTGCCCTGCCGTTATGGTGGCCATAGTAATCGCGGTTAGAGCTCCAAGGTTGACGAAACGGAATCCGGGAACACGGTCATCTTCATTAGAAAACTGGTCTCCTGAACGACTCGGCCACGGCTGCGACAACTCGCTTTCTTTGTCTGGCTTCCTCCAATGATACCACCGGCGGCGAACGCGGGATTCCTCGTGTAACGCGCCATATGCTGAAAAAAAGGTTTGATACGGAGCAATCATACGACTTGTCTGTCTTCCAACCCGGGCACGAAGTAAGCAGTTCATCATCGATCCGCGCAAGCAAACTCAAAGATGGCTTTTCGAGCGGATGCATCCCGCTAGGTGCTGATGTGGCCATTGAGAGTTGTACAGAGAGTAATAATGCATGGTAATGTGTTGAGGGCTTGACGGAAGAAAAAGAAGATGAGGGTCGCGACGCTTGAGGAATGGAAGTCGGTACGTTCCTCTCCTCTCGATCCGTTCAGATAACTTCAATAACGGCTGCTATCTTCGCACGCCTAAGTTGCTGGCGTAATTGCTAATTCATGATGGGTTGTTGAGAGCAAGTGACACAAGCCGTTGCTGCCTCTAGTTACGAGTATGTCTCACTTCTGTTCTCGAACTGTCAATGGGCACCTAGCTTGGGTTGAGTCGGGCAAGAGCGATGGAAGCATATCCCAGCATGCAGCTATTGGCTATCATTGACTGACAGATAGCTTTTAAGAAGCGTCTTAGGCAGCTGATGAGTGGTTTTGGGTCTTTTCCTCGAATGTGTCGGGCGGACGATTACCCTCACTTGGTGACTTGTTATCCGACGGCTGACGCTGTTGATGTGGCGCCTCCTCGTCATTTGGGTCCCTCGGGCGCTCCAGGCCACGGTCGCGAATGAGAACGCACAGCAATAAACAAGCCCCTATCAAGGGAACCTGCAGTATGAAAACCGCCCGGGATGCAGCCGCGTATGCATCGATAATGATATTCCACTCTGCGTCCGATATGCTGTTCCGGGATGGAAGCGAGTAGGTTGAATGTGCAAGGCTCTTGTACCCTGCGGGAAGGTTCGATCGAAGAACAGCCTGTAGAAGTGCAGCAGAAACAGCAAGACCGCATGCGCCGCCGAGGCAACGAAAAAAGTTCCGATCAGATATCACGACCGCGCGTTGGGACTTGGTACAGTGGGCCTGGCATGCTATCATTGTGGGCTGGAAGGTGCTTCCGATCCCAATTCCAGTAATGCCAACAGTCACGGCGATGACAGCTGGGCTGGTGGTTCTGTCGAACCTAATCATGAGACCGGCACCACTAATGGACTTAGCACAATATCCAGTTGGAAGGAAATGGTACCAGACTTACAGTGTCCATAGGCCAAATCCGAGCCAAATCAGCTCGCCATATCGCTTGCGACGTGAAATGTACTGACCGGCAGCGATGGAGGTGAGCGAATGACATACCATCATAGGGCAGGTCAAAGCCGCAGAGATAATCGGACTCCATCCACGGGCGTTTTGATAATACAAAGGCAGGTAGTAGAGATACGCCTGGTAGACGGCACCAAGAAGGAAAGTCTGGAGAAACAAGGCACAAATAACCTTATTCTTGAAAAGGTTGACTGGAAATCGTCAGCTCGGCCGTGGACGAAAATGAGAGGATTCCTACCTGGAAGCATTGGAAGGGAAGCTACCTTCCACTCAACCAGAAAGAAAGCGATGAGCGAGCAGCCTCCGATGACAAGCATGCTTATCACCATCGCAGAGTCCCAGTCAAAATATGACCCTCCGCCCGATATGGGAATAAGGATGAGTATAACAGCAATGGACGATGTGATGATCCCAAGGAAGTCGATGCGCTTGACACTTGTGATGAAACTGTCCTTCTTGTGGCTGTTGGGTATTAAAAAGTAGCCAACTACAGCGGATACGGCGGCCAAAGGAGCAATAAGCCAGAAGAAACCTCTCCAAGTTGATCTCATAATAAAGGCCGCGCCAACAAATGGTCCAATAATGTTTCCTAACCCCATGGCTGCACCAAGAATGCCTTGGTATTTCCCACGTTGTTGTAATGTAACGATATCAGAGACTATGATCATGGTTAAAGACGTGACGCCGCCGCCAGCCACTCCAGCCAGTCCACGGAAGACGTAGAACATCTCAGGGTTCACGGAGACACCGCAAAGGATATCGGATATGCAGAGTAGCACGAGTGCTGACAGATATATTACCTTGCGTCCGAAAATATCAGAAAGGCGACCGTACAGGACTGTGAACATGGTGTTGGCGACCAGGGACGAAGTTCCTGCCCACGATATGGTATTCCGGGCATTGAGATCCTCCGCGATGGTGGGAAGGGTGACGCTGATGCCATTCTGATCCACAAAGGTAATAAATAATGAGATTGCCAGGCCGGTGAAAACAACAAAGAGCTGTCCGCGAGGCAGAATATTGGTCTGGTCATGAAGAGCTTTCTCGGCTGCCCGCTGCCGCTCCATTATTCATGTAGGGGGCTTTTGCTAGGTATTTGGTCGGCGGCATTGAAGGGTGTTCGGGAAGAGAATAGCTCTTATCTAGTGAGGTGATTCCGGCGCGGGAGTAGCGGTCTCGCAGCTTGATTGACAAGACGTACGGCGTAATGGCAAAGCAAGAAGCCAATTTGAATGGGCGGCATCGGAGGAACAAGCGGCTTCATATCTGCGTGTGGAAATATTCTTAGCCTTGTGACGTTGTCCCCACCGGTCTGGGGGTTGGGGAAGATGCTGAAAACGGATTCCGATTTCCAACTTCCTGATTCCCTGAGAGCCGCCGATCCGCCATGATGAATAGTATTGCAGCAGTGCTTATCTTCCGATCTCGGCGTTAGGCCAATATTATTGGGCCAGGGTCCAATTGTTGTGGTGCTAATGATTGATCGTTAAAGTTGGGCGATGCAAAGAGGGAGAATCGGAGATGAACCGATGGGTCGGCAGCCAGCGGCTGTGGGACAAGGCACCAAGGCGTTAAGGCATCAAACTTCAGAGTAATTTATTGGACCTCGGTCCTAAACGTTAGTAAATATATATATCCACCGAACCATGTACTAGCGTAGGCCGCGGCGCGCAGCGCCGCGGTTGGAGCTAGTAAATTATTTTCCTTAGTAATTTAATATTAATAAACTATTAAATAGTAAGCAAGCTTAGTTCTTATTAATATTATAGCTAGCTTTTTATAATACTAAAAAAAATTATAAAATAATCTAGGGGCACAGCTATTTTTATAAAAAATATTAAATTTTAAGGGTTATTTATATAATACCATGCCGGGCATGGTTTAAATATTTTAATATATTATAATATAAAAAAATAGCTATAAAATTTAGTTAAGTTACGGCTGTTAAGGTTTAAACCTGCTTAAGTAGGTTAACTAAATATAAAATATAATATTAAAAAGGCTATTTATAGCCTAGGGTGCCATAAGCAGTACTTATTTATGCTTTATTTTTTAAATATACTATTAAAAAAGTAATAATTACACAAAGTTATAATTTTAAAGTTTACCCACTTAATTTACCCGCTTAGTTTACTTACTTATTTTTTTATAAACTATAGTAAATTTACGCGCCTGTGTAAAGGCCACTCCAGCATGTAAAAAAAATAATAGGCTAGGTATATTTATAAAAAATATTAATTTATTATTAAACTTTAGGGGGCCGGCCCCTGGGCTAAAAGTATTTATTTAATAATAATATAAACTTAGGGGCTAGCTTTAAGCTAAATATTAAATATTAATTAAAACCAGGCTATATAATCTATTTAAAGTATTATTTTTTAATAATAATAATTAAGGTAGTATTTATTATAAAAAAAAGCAAGGCTCCTAACCAAAGGTTATAAATAGCTACCTTTTAGTAAGTAAGCCCTTTACTATAAAATATTATTATAAAATACTAATAATCTATATTTAGTTACCTGCTTAGTTTACCTACTTAATTTACCTGCTTAATTTACCTGCTTATAGCCCTCCAGCCTTATTTTATAAGCTATATCCCTTTTTATTTTATATAGCTTTATAGCTAATTAGTTTTTAAAAAATTAAAAAGTTATTAAGGATTATAAGTATACTAGAAATTAAAGGGGGACTAAAAACTATTTATAAATTAATTAAGTAAGAAATAAATACCTATACTAAATAAAAAATCTTACTAAGTTTTTAGTATACCCAGGGGCTTAGAGGGGTTCCTAATTACTTATAATATTAATAATATATTTACTAGTATTAGGGGTGGTTCCCGGAGTCCTAACTAAAATATTTAGCCTTAAGTATTTTAGTAATAAAGGTATTTAAGGTGGTTTTTAAAATCCTAACTTAAATATTTAGCCCTAAGCTTTTTAATAGTAAAGGTATTTAGGGAATAGTTATTTATAAATAATATTAATAAAGTAGGGCCCTTGCTAAATATAGCAATAAATAAATTTAATAATTAGTAGGGACTGCCTTATAAACCCTACTTATAATACTTACTTTTAGTGCCTATTATTTATAGGCTAGTAAAATTTATACCTAAGATATTAAGTACTAGCGTGTTTAAAAAAGTATTTTACCTTTTTTTATATTTAACTAGCTGTTATGCAAGTTTATAGGCTTTAATTATTAAGGTTAACTTTTAGTAAGGTAAATAGCTTATTATTATAGGGTAAACCTAAAATATAAAGTTTTTTTTAAAATAAAAAAATAATATAATATTTTTAAAAGTAGCTGTCCTCCGGGGCATGGCTCTTATATATATTATATTAATAAGTTTATTAAATTTACTATACTTTAGCATTATACTTTTATACTAGTATCCTAAGGTATAAAATACCTAGGGTTTATAAGGTTATTTATTTTAAAAAATATACTAGCTAAAATTTATAATATATTAATAGTTAATAATAGTACTAAAATAGCTAGCTAGCTTTAAAACTACTTGCATAATTTAGCTTTAATACTTTTAGTTATAGTATTAAGGTAAGCTAGGTTATTAAAATTAAGTTAAAAAAGGCTAACTGCCCCTATTTAATAATATATATAAAAATACCAAGGTACTAAGGTTTAAAAGCCATGTTTACTAAAATAATAAATATGCACTATTTTAGCGCGCTATAAAAAAAAATAATAAATTAAATTTTTTTAGCTAGGGGCTTATTTTTAATAAACATGCTAACTTAGTAAATACTAGTATTATATTTAATTAAATATATACCTTTTATTTAATAGCCTTTAATTACTAGAATAGGGCTTTAAAGCCCTAAACCTTTTAAACTTATTATATTAAAGCTTTTTTTTAAGTATTATACCTTTGGGCGTGCCTTTGGGCATTAAGGGTTAGCTTTAGGCTAAGTTAAAAAGGGTTATTAAAATAATAATGCTTTATTATTAGTTATATATTAATTAACTAAAGTTACTATAGTAAAGATTTCTAGCTTATAAAAAATATATATCACACTTAAATACTTGTTTTAGGTAGTTATAGGCTATAAAAATTTAATTTAAAGGGTATTATAAGGTTAAATAAGTAATTTTATTTTAACCTAAACTTTAAAAAGTAATATATTATTTATTTTATATAAAAGTATAATAAATAATAAAGGGTCCTGTAAATATTTTAAGCTATGCCTTATATACCCCCCTTATATAATAGTAAAGGTATAGGTAGCATATTTTAGTAATATAAAGTAATAGTAAGTAATAATTTTTAGGTAGCTACTATACCTAGGGTTAGCTAAAAAAATAATAACTAATAGTACTTTATAGGCGTAAAGGCATGTTATTAATAATAGCTAATAATACTAATATACCAACGCCTGGGAATAAGCTAAAGCATTAATACTTAGGGGTATTTTATTTTTTTAGCTAGTAAGGTTTAGGGTGGCCTTGCTATATAAAAAATTAATTAACCTTATTAAAATATATTACACTAGTTTAACTGGATTAAACTAGTTAGTTTATTTAAGTATAATAAATAATTAATAAATTTAGACTTAATAAATTTAAATGCTTATTATCTTCCTTTTCCAGTGCTAAATATAAACTATAAACCTAAGGACTTTAATAAACCAAGAACCACTAATAAACTAAAAATAGCTAATAAACCTAAATTTAAATATTTAATTTTTTTACTACACTTTGTGTTACTATAAGTATTTTTAATTTTCTTAGTTAGCAGGCCCCCTATTAAGTTACCAGTATACCCAAGGGCTTAAAGGGGGGCGGTGGGCAAACTTAAAGGGCAAACTTAATGGGTAAACTTAAAGGGCAAACTTAGTAGGTAAACTTAAAGGGCAAACTTAGTGGGTAAACTTAGTGGGTAAACTTAAAGGGCAAAAAATAGTAAATATTTTTTAATAAATAGGTAAAATTAACCTTATATTAGCCTAATTATATAAGTATTAAAATAAAAAAAAAATAGGTACTTAATAAATATTAAGGTACTAGTTATTAAAATAACCAAAACTATTAAAATAAAAAAAGCCTGGTATTAAACCAAGCAAAAAAGTAATAAAAGTATAAAGTATTTATTAATATTAAAAGCCTAAGGCAGTGCGTACTTAAAAGTATTATATTAATATAAAAAAATACTAATATAGCACTAGTAAAAAAAAACTACTACTTAAACTAGTATTTTAAAGCTAATAATATATATAAAAAAATTATAAATATATTACTAGTAAAAGAATACTGCTACCTAACTAAGTATATAATTATTTTAGGGCCTTTTTTTTTTTTTAAATAACCTAGTGGGAGTGCTTGCTGCTAAAAGGTTAGTAATACCTAAAAAAATAATTATATATAAAGCAGGTACCTTATTAAGGCTCCCCTGGAAAACTAGAAGGAGATAAAAAAGTATAAATACTAAAATTATAAAAAGGGTATTTATTTTTTTTTTACTTTTTTTTATAAGATTTTATATTTTTTTACTTATACTTTTTAAAACTCGCGTTTTTATCCTTTAAGATCACTTTTTATTTAGGGAAAGAAAAAAACTTTAGAGATATAAATTAAAAAAGCTTATAGTTAATTTAATTTTCTGCTATATTATTAATAACAAAAAATTTAATTTTAACTATTAGACTAGTAGCCCTAATAAAAAGGAAAAAAGTAAACTAAAATACAGTCTTTAAAAATCCAGGCTAGCAGGAAAAGGTGGTATTAGTATTACTTTTAAACTTAGTAAACTTAATAAGTATCCCCGGGACTATAAATATTTTAACATGTTTTTTTTTATACACACATAAAATATATATTAGTAAAGATAAATAAAATTAACACTAAATATACTAGGGAGTTACCGCGAAAGAAAAGGTGCCTAGCTTAATAATAAAAAGCATAGGTTAGGGCACAGCTTGCTTACTACTAGAAAGGTAGGTTAAAGCTATAATATAAATAATAATTAATTTTTAGCTATAAATAAATAGCTAGCTAATTATATAACTAAACACTATATATTAATAATTAATACCTAGAGTTATAATCTTTT